ATTTGGGAATTAGCTGTCAAAAAAGACAATTTATGGGTCAAATGGTGTCACGAGTACTATTTGAAGGGGCAGAGCATATGGAAGCATATGCCAGCAAAGGGAGTTCCTTGGTACTGGAAATATCTGATGAAGATAAAAGATCAAATTCAGCCAAGAGTTTCACAAGGCCAATGGATAGGGGGAAAGAATGGAGAATATACTACCAAAAATGGTTACGAATGGTTCAGAGGATCTGGTTTGAAAATGAAGGCAGCTGAGGTGGTGTGGAACAGATACAATACTCCAAAACATAGTTTCATGTTGTGGTTGGCTCTAAAGAAAAGGATACTATCCTCTGAAAGGTTGCTTAGACTGAATATCATTAGTTCCCCCTTATGGTGTTGTCTATGTTCAGCTGAAGAGGAAAGCTTGGATCACCTTTTCTTCCAATGTACGTATTCAAATTTGGTCTTACAAAAACTGAAAACTTGGCAGGAATGTAGGAGAATCCCTGAAAAGATCTCTGTTTGGGAAACAAGATTAAGGAATATTTGGAAGTTCAGCAAAGGCAAGAAGAGCATTATGATTGGAACACTGGCTGCAGCAGTGTATCATGTTTGGAAGATCAGGAATTCTGTACAGCATGGAAGGAAATTGGTCAGTGAGGAGGTATTGGTGGAGCAAATCAAGAAGGAGGTGAGATGGAGGATTGGAGGATGCTATAAGAAGATTAGGAAGACTGAAAAATTGTATATGGATAGACTAGGAATTCTTGTATAGTTGGTCTATTTAGTTGGTTTGGTCACAAAGGATGTAATAGATGAGATAGGATGTAAATGGAGCGATGTTTTGAGAAGTTAATACATATTAACCTTTCATCAAAAAAAAATATTTTTATTTCCCATTTAGTTTTCAATTTGAAATACTTTCCACTTTTAAGTTGTAAAATGAAATGTAAGTTGACATCCAAACAAGCCCTTAACCTTCTACACCCATTTGGAATCTATGGCCCGCTTGCCAGGAGGCAAGGAAACGAGCTGCCAAGTATTATTAGGTTCAAGAGCAGAAACCTCTCTAGCCACGGCATCTCTCCAATGTGCATGTTGAACTGCCTGTGAAAAGCTGGTGGGCCCATCCACAGAAGAGATGGCCGCTGACAAGGCAATGTGAGCTTTAGATAAGCAAGAATAGCACAAAGTCTGAGAGAGAGGGTGTACCGTCGAGTTGACTGATGGTGAGACAGAGGATGATGATGGATTACGAGTGGACTGGAGAGAGGTTGGTAGAGTATACTGATACCCAGAAAGGCGTTGGGACACTTGTCGAGGACGTTTGTCACGAAGATCCAAAGAGGATGTATCCGGCAGAGGGGATGATTATGGAGGAGGATCGGGGAAATCATCAGAGGATGGAGGTGGCGGAGACAAATTAGGAGCCACAAGAGGAAAAGGATCAGCTGCAGAGTGAGATCAACCATGACGGGTGATGGAGCAGAAACTATTTGGGAAAGACCCGAAGTAGATGGAAAAATGTTTTCAAGGAAAATGACATCGCGAGAAGTATATATCTCCTTACGATCAAAATCATAAACCCGATACCCCTTTTGGCCATGTAGATAACCGAAAAAAATCCCCGGACGACTTCTAGATGCAAATTTATCCCTAGGTTTGGCAGAAACATGAGCATAGCACAAATACCCGAAACTACGCAAGTGATCATAAGAAGGCGAATGACCATATAAAAGCTCATAAGGAGTTTTATTTTGTGAGACAGAAAGAGGCATGCGATTGATCAAGTAAACTACAGTGAGAATATATTCACCCCAAAACCCAACAGAGAGATTTGCTTGAAAATGCAAAACCGTAGCTACTTCTAAGAGATGTTGATGCTTGCGTTCAACGACACCATTTTGTTGAGGAGTGTGTTGACAACTTGTTTGTTTTTCAATGCCATGATCCAGAAAATGGGTTAACAAAGAGAAATTATTGAATTCAAGACCATTATCAGTGCGAAAAGTCTTAATTTTAGCATTGAAATGCGTATGCACCCAGTTGAAAAATAAAAGCAAGTAATGCTTAGTTTTAGATTTGGAACGCATAAGAAAAACCCAAGTAGCTCGACTACGATCATCAACAATAGTAAGAAAATAATGTGCACCAGACTTAGACGGAGTGGGATAAGGTCCCCAAATATCACAATGCGCTAAATCAAAATTGTTCATACTATGAGTTTGATGCAAAGCAAACGCTAAACGAGTCTGCTTAGCTCGACAACAGGCATCACAAACAAATGCGCCAGAATTATTATTAAAAGAAACAGAGATGCTAGGAATGAAAGAAAGAAGTAACCGGAAGATGACCCAAATGACGATGCCACAAGGTTGTTGTATCGCCTTTGAGAATTGACAGGATCCGACATTCACCACCTAAATTCATTGGCTCTAGATAGTATAATCTATCGCTCACTCTACCCATTCCAATCAGCTTCGTCGAGGTTAAATCCTGGATAAAAAAAATAAGTCAGGGCCAAAGGTGAAGAAGCAATTCAAATCACGGGTCAATCAATTAACAGAGATCAAATTGAACCGAAAATTTAGGCACCCCCAAAACATTATCAAGTATCAAATTATCATCAAGTTTTATCACAACAACCGCTTGAACAGGAACCTATTCACCATTAGGAATTTGAAGCGAAATAGAATCACAAGGAATGAAACATCCTTCATCAATTGCAATTGATTGGAAGCATGATCGGTAGCTCCCGAATCACACTCCCGACAACTGGCTAACCCGACGAAGAAAGGTTGTTCACGTCGGAAGACTTGGCCGCGGCATCATTGGATACTTGCTGTCCAAGCATCTAAAAAAGCTGCTGAAGCTGGCCAGCTGAGAGAGACCTTGGAGAAGCTGGAGCAGCTGGAGGAGAGTCGGTCACAGCAGCAAGAGTCGAAGCAGCAGCGCTGGAATTGTTGCGTGCGCGAGACTGCTGATCACGTTTTTTTCGGGGTTGGCGCTAGCCGACAGGATACCCGACGAGTTCGTAGCAGCGCTCCTTGGAATGGTTAGCATGCCCACAATTGCTGCAAGGAGGCTTCGAATGGCCAGAATCAGAGGAATCATGCCGGGCAGAATACGATTTCATGGCCAAGGTGGCAGCTTCAACGATGGGCAGCCGTGAATCAGCAAGTCGACGTTGCTTTTCATCACTAGCAACAATGGCATATGCACGTCCAAGAGTCGGGAGCAGATCGACACTGAGGATTTGTGAACGAACTGTCTTGTACCTGTCATCAAGCCCCATCAAATAATCAAACACCTTCTCCTCCTCAGGAGAAGTAGTTTTCTCAACACCCTCTAATCCAAAAACAAGGCTGGATTTCTCGACGGGTTGATTGATCAACCGGTTGCTGATTCTGATAACTTGCAGCGTTGGATTCAATGCAATGCATTGATAAAATCTTGGATTCTCAATGCCATTTGCAAGGAGCTGCAAACAGAGGGGACTCACACCCCCACAGCTCGCGCGATCTGGGCGGATTTTGATGAACGCTTCACTCAGGGTTTGGCTCCTCGCATATATGAGTTGAAGCGTTCCATCGCCTTGCTGCAGCAAGAACGCTCCCTCACATCAACGTACTACGGCAAACTGAAGGCAATTTGGAGCGAGTTGCAGAATCTCTGTCCTTTTCCGGCTTGTGATTACGGCAGCTGCACTTGTGAGATCAAAGTGAAGAAGTTGTCACCATTCTCGGCCAAGGGCTGTGTGACAAAGGTGAGGCCGGGATGGTCTGAGGGATGAACATAGAACGGAGAATGAGTGTCCACCGTGGAGGAAGAAGCTGTGACTTTATCACCCATGGCTGAAGACAGAATCAGCAGCAAGAAAGCTAAGCAAGGCAACGAGAAAAGCCTAGGATTTGGCAGCCGGAAAAAAAAGAGAAATCAACGGCAAAGAAATTTGGGTTTCAACTTAGTCTCGTGATACCATAAAGAGATGGGGAAAATACACTTTGTATTGATGTATACAAGATATATTTATACACATAATTTATCGATAATAAACCCTAATCGTAATAGTAAAACAGAACTATTTACTAATTAGATCTTTACCATTTGCCTTGTTTTGCATTTTCTTTTAAACAACTCGCACCACCTCGCCCTTGTTTGTTTGGTTTTTTTTTTTTTGGTGGGGTTAATTAATTAATCAAGGTAGGTTTCTATTTGTTTATTACTTTCGCTTCAAGGAAAAACGACCAAGTCAAATGAGTATACTGTAACCGGCTAGAAACCTGTTTACAGCAAGTCACCGCCACCAATAATAACCCTATATGTACCTCTCATCCCACTCGGAACAATAAACTCCTTCATTCGACAGATCGAAACTCGGAATTCGCGTTCTTCAATCTTTGTAGAATCGAATCGGAAATCAAAGATGTCTTCATGGACTAGAGTTGGACTTCTGGGCGAGGGAGGTTATGGTATTGTCTCCTTGGCGAAGTCATCTTCTTCTCCAACCTCTGATTACCTCCAACCCGATGTGGGTTTGGACCTGAAATTGCCTCCCCTGTTCGCCGTGAAATCTTCGGAATTCTCCCTCTCGCAGCCATTACAAGAGGAGAGGCTTGTGTTGAGCGAATTTCAAGATTGTCCAACATTATTGAGTGTTACGGATCTGACGTTACTGAAGAAGACGGCGTTATTTTTTATAATGTGATGCTTGAATACGCAGCCGGTGGGAGTTTGTTGGATCGTATTTACCACTCTGCGGCTCCCTTGCTTGAGGATGAAGTAAGGAAACACACTAGACCGATTCTCAAGGGACTCAGTTATATTCACGGAAAAGGGTTTGCCCATTGCGATATCAAGCCCAGCAATATCCTTTTGGTGGACGATGGCGCCGGATCCAATGTCGCCAAAATTGCTGATTTCGGGCTCTCCAAAAGGGTTCAGAAGATTAGGAAGAAACACTGGAGAAAGAACTCGAAGATTGATTGGAGAACCTGGAGGGGAACGGCGGTGTACATGGCGCCGGAATCGATTCTTCGGGATGAGTATGATTTTGGAGTTGATATTTGGGGGCTTGGGTGTTCTGTTTTTGAGATGCTTACCAAAAGAGTCCTCAGAAATATTTCCAACTCCAAAGTCAAAGATAAGGGTTTTCCGAGGAAGCAAAAGATTTTCTGGAGAAGTGTCTGATTAACGATCCAGTTCAGAGATGGACAGCTAACATGCTTTTGAAACACCCATTTGTTTCTGGTTTTGAAGCAGTGGATGAGGAAATAAGTTTGATTAGTACTTCTGAATTCGAGCTTCCAGAGGATGAAGAAGACCTCGAGTGGCTGATGAAACCAATGCTGTTAATAAATCCTTCTGCGGCACTACAAAAACGGAAGAGGTTCTTATCAGATGACTCTGTTTCAGAGAGTTCTACATTCAAGAGGCCAAAAAGATTTGATCTTGATCGAGTTATCAAGCCATTAGGCTGCGGAATTTTGCAGCCCTGTTGTTGAAAAGTTTGAATGAAGGAGGATCCTAATATATATTGACAGTAGAAAAGTTCTTTTACTTCTTGAATTCTGGAGGGAGACAAAATTGTTTATGTATGGGAATTGTTGTTCACATTTCTTAGAATTTGATGTACTGGAAACAAATTTTCAGGTGGTTGTATATGTGTCGATGTTGTCATTCTTTATATCACCATACTTGTGATGATCAACTGTATAAAGAAAGTTATGTATTCATCGTGAAGTAGATTCATTGGAATTAGTTTCTCGTCAGTTTTTACTGCTGTTTCTCTGTTTTCAACGTGATAAATTCTTGAACCTTGAATAAGAAAGCAAAGAAAAGATCAGGGATGCCAGTTTAATCTCTTGAAATTGAAGGTTAAAAATGAGAAAATTTGGTTACATAATCCTGTGGGCTATATGAATCTGTGATGATGGTCTGTATTTTGAATCCTACATAAAAAAAACTGTATGATAAACTGAAAATTGCCTAAACAACAAAAAAAGAAGATACAAACGTTATAGCAGAACAGTATTTTTGCAATGAAATTTGATTTCATCATTCCTCAAACAAGCATCCATCAATTTATTCCCTGTGATTTTGTATGGCACATTGTCAGTGTACCAGCTCTTCGTCACTCAGTCTCATTTGAATCTGTTCCTCCGGAACTGATGTCTGCCTCTTTTTACACTTATCTCAACTTGAGATTTTTTTTAGAATACTAAGAATTTCTTTTGGCAAAACAATAGCTTCTCCTTGTCGCTGCCATATTCATTTTCTTCTATACGACTTCCCCACTTCATTCCCTTGGCCATGGTTGCAGCAGCATTGACGAAATAGATCGACTCAGGGATTATTTGCACGCCCATTAGGCCTCAAATCCCGATCCATTTCCAAAAAGACGCATTTCATTTCGAACCAGTCCAACAAGAGCAGCACATTAGTCCCACTAGAACACTCAAATAACTAACATCTAGATTCTAGATCATACAATTTACCAGTCATGGCAGGTTCCAATGATTCCTCGGTCAAACACAACTGGAAGAGTGTGTGCAGCATATGATGAAACCACATTCATGACCCGAAGAGGATCATCAATCAAAGCAGCAGCCAAACCTCTATATACTGTATGTTCATATCCATCACATTTCTTATTTCGTTCGGCTCCGGTCCAAGGACCACCAACATTTGAGCTAAGGGATGCAGTGATTGTAAAAGATGTGCCAGACTTTGAAGTTAATTGGGGATGAATTTAATCAACCTGGCTCCAGTGATGATGAATAATTTACCTTCTCAGAATGATTGTTGAGAGTTATTCTGAGGAGCGAATGTTGCATTTGCCTGAGAAAGGTGACAAAATCAGCTTACAGTAGCTTCTGATGCTAATAAACTCCGTAAAACTAATCAGAGAAGAGATACTCTAACCGAAATTATGAACAGTATGCGTATTGCAAAACCTCTCTTGACTTTGGGCCTAAGGCCGCAATAAAGTTCAGAACTTTGACAAATTTGATATATTCTTGGGTCAGATTGATATTTGCTTTGCCTTTGCACATATTTTTCGGCCTAATCCTTCTCTTCAGTAACAAGTTCAAACCAATTTAGTAACCGAAAAAACACTGAAATTTATTCAGACAGTAATGAATCACTAGCGAAACAATGAATTGCACACAAAAGGATGAACTGAACATTATTACTAAAGACCCACTTCAGAGGAAGTGCAAGAATTCTTCAGAATATGAATTCAACTACTTTAAACAACATATAAACATGAATCTACAAAAGGGAAATTTATCAAATTCTAAAATTAATTGATGGATCTCCTCCTCCTATATCTTCTTCTTGAACTATGCTTGAGTTTCTTCTTGTTGGAGGCGTGATGATGATCTGATGAAGTTGATGTCGATTGGCGAGAGATGACCAAATCCAACTTGTTGTTGACTTCCTCCCTGAAATTATTCAACTCAAGTCTAGTGAGTTTACAGTCCCTAACAGCCACAGCAATCATGATGTCTCTGGAGAACTTGCTCATAATCTTATTGTACTCTTTAATTCTCTTACAAAAGACATCCATTTTGTGGAAATCCCACCATCTGATCTGATCGCACTCCCTAACCAGATCGTTCCCCTGATTCATGATGGATATGAATTCCTCTGTTTCCTCGCCCGGGCTGTTCAAATAATTTTCGTTCAGATATATAATCTGATAAAAATAGGGACCCAACTCTTCCAATCGTAGATTTAAACGACGTAGGGAGGACTTGAATGTAAGAACTCTGACTGCCGTGGCTATGGCCAATTTCGATAGACCATCAGCGCCTATACCAGCAGCACGCTCTGCTATTGCAATCGCCAGTACTTAAACGTGATGGGAAAAGATCGATAGAAGTTGGCTTCAGCAAAATAACAACACCAAAGAAAATAGTGAACGGAACTATGAAGACGATGAAAATTGCCCAATCAATCTGGAGAATAAAGTGGAGAGAAGTATGAAGATAATGAGAATTTCCCAATCAATCTGGGAGTAATTTGGTGCGAATAGATAAAACTGGTTTCAGATTTAGAGTGAAGTAATGAAGAAATAAAGTAGGAGAGAATAGGTGAGGGTTTGGGCCTTATAAAGACCATGAATGACAAAAAACCAATTGAGTTTTGGATTTCGATTTCGGAAAGTTATTACCGTTGGAGCACTAATGAGTAGTAGTACTAATTTCCCAGTCGATTTAGGAAAGTCGTGTCACTCTTGACTTAGTCAAGTTTGAGCTTCTTACGTTTCTATAAACCTCCTCTATTTAATTGGTTTTCTGATTTTGGGTGCACCGTATTTCAGATGCTTGCAATAAAACCTCTGAGCAATATTAAATCAAAAGATCAAATTATAAAGCTCCACCTCTATTGCGGAGGGCGATGCAATAGATTTCCTTTTGTTTCAGGTTTAGAAAATGGAGTTTCACAACCTTGAGTGGCTGATGAAATTTTTTCTACCCATCAGAATTTGGGATTGATGTGGATCGCAACCATGCAGTTGAGCCAGCCAAATCCACATTTGGTGGAAAGTCTCAATTGCGTAGAGCGATTGAAGCAGCAGGAATTCCGCACACATATCTTGTATCCAATGCTTTTGCAGGTTATTTTCTCCCAACTCTGGTCCAACCAGGCGCCAGTGCTCCACCCCGCGATAAAGTTGTGATCTTGGGAGATGGAAATGCCAAAGCTGTTTTCAATGAAGAACATGATATTGGTACATTTACCATCAAATCTGTGGATGACCCGAGGACACTGAATAAGATTGTGTACATCAGGCCTCCCAAAAACGCTGCGTCATTCAATGAGATTGTGGCAATCCGGGAGAAGAAGATTGGCAAAACTCTGGAGAAAGAATATGTTCCTGAGGAACAACTTCTGAAACAAATTCAAGGTTCTCAATACTGAGCAAGATTAACAAATTACCTTGTGTTAATTTTCTTTTTTTCTGATTAATAATGTATTTGTTGTTTATGCAGAGTCACCAATTCCGGTGAACGTGATATTATCAATCAACCATGCAATTCTGGTGAAGGGTGACACGACCAACTTTGAAATCGAGCCATCTTTTGGTGTGGAGGCTTCTGAGCTTTATCCTGAGGTCAAGTACACCACCGTGCCGGAGTACGTTGAGAAACTTGCTTGAATTTCCTAAGTCTTCATAGGTGTTTTTTTTTTCTCCTCCTCTGCAGAAGAAACGTTGAGCCTAATGTTTTCATAGGTGTTTGCAATAGATTTCCTTTTGTTTCAGGTATAATTAATCCTTCAGCGGCTCAAAAAAAACGGAAGAGGTTTCTATCAGATGACTCTGTTTCAGAAATTTTTTCCAAGAGGCCAAAAAGATTGGATCTTCATCTGAAGAGGGATCATAATATATCCTGAGATTAGAAAGTTCTTAACCTCTTCAATTCTTGAGGTTGTATGTGTTTTGCTGCTGTCATTCTTTACATTACCCTAAAGATGATAATCAACTGTATAAAAAAGTTATGCATTCATCTTGAATTAGGTTTAGAGGACTTAACAATGTTGATTTTCACTTCAACTTTACTGCTTTTTCTCTGTTTTCAACGAGCCCTGAACAAGAAAGCAAAGAACAGAAAAGATTGGGGATCTCTTGGGATTGAAGGTACAGAATGAGATAATTTCAGCTCATTACATTCCCATGATAATTTGAAATGAGTAAATTAATAAAAGTGAAACAGAAGACAAAAATCTAGGCAATCATCCTGCTTAAAGAATATTACGTACCATGTGATTGTTTAAAAAATTACCCTGAACAACAGAACAAGAAATTTATTGGAAAGCACTGTTCCTTGAAAGAAATTTGATTTCAATCATTCAATCCTCAAACCAGTATATTAATCTCTTTTCCTGCGATTTTATACGGCACCTTGTCTATGAATGTCTGGTATAATGTAACTAAATTTCATATGAGACTCCTCTGGGATTGTAGTATTAATTGTTAAATGTCTGCCTTTATTACACTTCTATCAAACTTGGAACTTTTTTAAGAATACGAAAGTTTCTTTTGGCATTACCAATATCTTCTCTTTTTTTTGACACTGTATTCTGCGTCTTCTTTATGACATCCTCTCTTCATTCCCTCAGCGATGGTTACAATGGCCGAAATAGCTAAATTCACGTTATTGCATATCCGTTAGGCCTCAACATCCGATCCATCATCAGAGAACAATAATTTGCACTTGCGCAAGGAGAGGAGTTTGTCGGTATTGATGGATTGATGACAGGGAATACTCTTTAGAGGAAGATGATGATTTAGATGGTAAAGCTCTGAGGAAAGCACTTGTCTTCTTTCATGGGGAGAAAAGGAAAGCGGTTGATTTCTAACTGATGGTTCAAACAGGATTGTTCGGATTCATTCTCAGGAGCAAATGTTGCATTTGACGACTGAAAAAGTTGACGAAGATCATCACCTTATAGCAGCTTCTGATGCTAATAATGTCCGTAAAACAGGTCACAGCACAAGGAAGAGATAATCTAATGGAAATTCTGAAAGCCCGAATGATGAATAGCCAGCTGATTTCAGTAGAAAAAACTTGCATTACTAGCTGCACTTGTTCTGGCCTTTGCAAAATGGCAACTCCGTATTGTTGAAGATTGCGGCCTAATTCAATTTATGTCGAGAAACTACTGAAATATTTTTTCCATCTCAAAATTGTTCAATTTGATTTTTATTTTTTTTTGGTAAAAAAAGATAAATTTTATATACACAAAGTCACCAAAATGACAAAAAGTTCAAAGTTTTATTACAACAAACAAAATAATCATTTTAGCGGGGTTAATTAATTAATTAAGGTAGGTTTCTATTTCTTTATTACTTTCTCTTCAAGGAAAAACAACCAAGTCAATGAGTAAACTGTAACTGGCTAAAAACCTGTTTACAGGGCTGACTGTAAATGTACAAAAGTCTAGTGTTTACTTCGGTGGAGTAGAGGAGAGTGTGTAGCAACGAATTCGGCAGATTCTAGGGTTTCATATAGGAACCTTTTTTATGAAATACTTAGGAATCCCTATCTCTCCTACTGCTTGGAATCAAAATGATTGTCAGGTTATAGTTGACAAGATAGTAGCAAAATTGCATTGCTGGTCAACTAGTTATCTCTCCTATGCCGGAAGATTGGTCTTGATCAACTTTGTACTGATGAGCTTGGATCGGGGGAAAATGAAGCAGGTAGAGCCTGGTCATTGGTAACATCGGAAGACGTATTTAAGAGCAAATCAGAAGGTGACTTGAACATCAAAAGACCAGGAATCTGGAATAAAGCCTTGCAGGGAAAGCAGCTGTGGAAGATTGCCAAAAATAAACTCAGTTTGTGGATTAAGTGGGTGCACACCTATCATCTAAAGTAGGGGAACACCTGGGATCATAAAGCACCAATGGACAGCTGCTGGCATTGGAAAAAAGTTATTACAGTAAAAGAAGAGTTGAAAGAAGGTTTCTAGAAGGGATTGTGGTCTGAAGCGAGGGCAAAGAATACTCAGCGAAAAAGGGCTAAAAATGGTTAATTGGTTTGCAGGGCAAATGTCATGAATCAACATTGATATGGAATCTGTATAGCCTGCCAAAGCATCAGTTCATCTTGTGGTTAGCTTTAAAGAATCAGCTTGTCACCCAGAAAAGGTTAGACAAACTGAATTTGCTTCATGAAGCTGTTAAATGTGAATTGTTTCTGGGACCAATAGAAAATAGGGAACACTTGTTTTTTGGCCGTGATTATGCACAACATCTTATGTTGGTCAGTGCTTGGCTGGGACATGATTTGGAAATACAGGATTTGCATGCACAAAAGTGCAGATTGCTGCGGATGTGGAAGGGCAGAAAGACAATAAAGAAACTGTTATATGCAGTGGTTGCTGCTGTGGTGTACAACCTTTGGTCAGAGCGGAATAGCAAGAAATTTAGGCAAGAAAGTAAAGAGGCAATAGACAGATTTCAGTTGTTGAAAGCTGGGATTATATGTAGAATGCAAATATATTATAGAAAAGGTAGTAATGATCATATACGATATTTATGTATAGGCATACAGTAAAGATGTAATAGAAGTACCAACTCTGGTTTCAGTGTTTCATGTAATTGAAATTTTTACCTTTTACCCAAAAAAAAAAAGTCACCACCACCAATAATAACCCTATTGTTGAAGAATGATTTTGACGTCTTAATTCCTGATCCAGCAACAGACAAGGATATCCAATCATTATAGTGTTGTATGTCAGGGGTCTTACTTGTAAATATTGATAGTTGTAGGGTTACCTTGTAAATGTTAGTTGGTTAGGATTAGTCAATGTATATATATATATATATATATATATATATATATATGTTGTTCAGAACGGTTTACTGTATGATATTCATTTTTACATCTCTTCAATATATTGAAGTTTCCAGAATCCTCAATCCTCTCAATTTGTCAACTGTTACACCGGAAACCACCATAACCTCCGTTGTACTCCGGTGATGGTATCAGAGCAGGAGTGATCCTGCCTGATTACTAAATCGATAAATCCTCTCGATTTTATCTCAGGAACAAAACCTAATCATTTGATTTCATCATGGAGAACGATTATGAAGAAATTAGTCACGAGCGAGAGCAGGGAACAGACGAACAGCGCTTTGCTCATGGAATCGGAAGAGAAGATAGGAACAATCGAAGGACTGAGCGTGGATTTTCCCGAAGTCCGATGACTGATCGTGATCTGGACTGGTTCATGGAAGAACATCTCCAGTTGCATGGTTTTGATAATCCTGGGATGCAATTGGTAAGTGTTCCTTTGACTACTACGAATTTCTTAATGGGGAAGATGTCTGCGATGACTGCATTAGATGCAAAGATGAAACTAGGGTTTGTAGATGGTACTTGTATAATGCCTCCAATTAATTCACCTGATTACCTTCGCTGGCGAAGAGTTGATAGTATGGTTCGATCTTGGATTCTAAAATCCATATAAGCTAGTCAGGCCAGTAGTTTTGCATTCATTCCTACTGCCAAGCAACTTTTGGACACAATTGTGGCTAGATATGGAAAGAAGAATGGTTCCCTGGTATATCAATTGAAGGAGAAATGGCACTGATTAGCCAAGGTAGTATGAATATGGTAGAGTATTACAATAAATTGAACAAGCTATGGGATGAATACAGTCAATGGAGACCTCCGATTGTGTGTGAAGCAGATGCTATGAAAAAGTTATATGAAAGAGAAACTGAAGATAAGGTCTATCAAATGTTAATGGGTTTGAATGACTGTTATGAGTCACTCAGAAGTGAAATCCTGCGCATGGATCCAATGCCAAGTCTGGATGAAATTTACTCCAAGCTTCTGGATGAAGAAACTCAGAAGCAGGTAAGCAGTGTGCTTATGGTGCAACCTGGGAATGTGGCCATGATGGTTAAACCTGGAGTCTGGAAAAGGGAAACAGAACAGAAAGACTGGAAGGAGATCAAGGCAGCAGCTAAGAAGGAAAAAATGAAATTGTTTTGCAATCAGTGTAACAGGCATGCGCATATAAGGGACAATTGTTTTTTGATCAAAGGATACCCGGATTGGTGGGAAGAGAAATATGGAAACAAGAATCAGTAAGGTCTTCAAGGATCAACAAGTAAGCAGCTACCACGGCAAACGTTCAAACAGCAAGCTCATCTTGCAGACTTAGATTTTGATAGCACAGAACCAGCTGCAGGAGACTGGCAAGTGATGGTTGCTAATTTGGTGCAAGCAGGACTTGGAAAGATGATGAAGGGAAAATCTCCTATAGAAGGTGTTCCAACAACCTCTGCCAACCACGCCAGGGTGAACTATCCTCCTTTGCAAGATTTTTCAGGTAGTCATGTCATTACTCAATTGACTGCTAATCTAGTTCATGTGATTAGTGTTGATTCTTGGATAACTGATAGTGGTGCCACAGCAGAGATGTGTTGCTCTATTTCATTGATGATACATGCTAGATTAGTTGATACATACACGCCTGTTTATCTGCCTGATAGGAGTATTAGGGATGTGCATCATATGGGAGAAGTAGAACTTTCTAGTAGACTTACACTTTCATCTGTGTTGCATGTGCCAACCTTTAAACATAACCTTTTATCTGTTAGGAAACTTGCACAAACTTCAGGTGTCTATGTGAAGTTCTTTGATGATTTCTGTTTGCTACATAACCTGAGGAATAATGAGGTCCTTGGAGCAGGCATGGTTGCCAATGGACTCTACATAGTCAATTCGTATTCCTTTACACAAGCTGCCATTCAGCAAACACACACTTTATATTCTAAGCTAGTTTTGTCAGTTTCAAGGAGATTCCCTGCTGTATCTTCTAGAAATTCTAGCGTTACTGTTTCTAATTCTTCTGTTAAGGCTAATATTGCTGTGTCTATTTGGCACAACAGACTAGGAAACCCTTCTAGTAACGCTTTGAGACATGTATCAAACCTTGATTCTGCTGATATTACTAATATATTTCCCTTTTGTGAAACATGTCCATTGTCTAAACAGCACAAGCTTGCATTTCCTTTAAGTTCAATCAGTACTAATAATGTGTTTGAGATAATACATGCTGATGTATGGGGCCCGTACAAAATGTTGTCTCTGACAAATGCTCAGTTCTTTCTTACCCTAGGGGATGATTTTAGTCGGACTACTTGGACTTTCCTCCTTAAACACAAGTCACAAGTAGCCGAAACACTTAGGCAGTTTCTCATCTTAGTGAAAAATCAATATAACCACCATGTCAAGATCCTTAGGACTGACAATGGTTTCGAACTTGTTAGTGCCATAGTGCAAAAACTTCTCTTAGAACATGGCATTGTTCATCACCGAACATGTCTAGTTGAAAGAAAGCATCAGCATATTTTACAAGTGGCTAGATTACTACTTTTAAAATCTGGGTTATCAAAAAGGTTTTGGGGTGAATCTATCCTAACGGCTACCTATCTTATCAATAGAACACCCTCTAAACTGCTCCTTTGGAAGACTTCTTTTGCCGTTTTACACCATAAACCACCTAATCTTGATCATTTGTGGACTTTTGGCTATTTGGCCTTTGTTCATAATATGGCACCGAATAGAGATAAGTTTGATGCTAGGGCCATTAGAGGAGTCTTCGTAGGATATCCCAGTGGTAAGAAGGGATATAAAATTTATTGTATTGACCAACAAAAGATCATCATATCCAGACACGTTCAATTCCACGAAATGACTTTTCCTTATAAAACCATGTCAATTGATACTGTCGATCAACCTGTATTACCATGTCCTATATATCCAGATATTCATTATGAACCTTCTTCAACTACTGATTCTTTGCCGACCAATCCAAATGACACTTTGATCTCACCTTTATCGTCATTGAATCACTCCCCTCCCACTTTCTCAGTTTCTACATCACACTCCTCAGTTCATACAAATTCTTCTATTTCACAGTTTTCTAATCCTTCTGTCGCTCATTCCCCTCCTCCTGAACCCCGTAGGAGTGATAGAACTCGCCATCTCTCCACCTGGCTTCGAGACTTTGATGTCACTGATAGCGGTGTTCAATTACCACCTGTTTCAGCCCCTGTAGTCTCTAGTGAGTCTTGCTCTTTCTCTGATGCACATCTAGGGTTTCTAGCTAATTGTTCAACCATAAGAGAGCCGCAGACTTTTAGTCAGGCTAGGAATCACTGTCATTGGATTACTGCCTTGAATGAGGAACTAGGCGCCTTGGAAAATAATGGTACTTGGTCTTTGACTTCCTAACCACCTGGAAAACGAGCAATAGGTTGCAAGTGGGTTTATAAGGTTAAATGTAAGTCAGATGTCACTGTCGACCGTTATAAGGCTCGGCTTGTTGCAAAGGGGTATAATCAAATCGAGGGAGAGGATTTTTTTCAAGTTTTCTCCCCAGTTGCGAAAACCGTCACAGTCCGGGTTTTGCTTGTTCTTGATGTACATCGAGGTTGGAATGTTGAAGAATGATTTTGACGTCTTAATTCCTGATCCAGCAATAGACAAGGATATCCAATCATTATAGTGTTGTATGTCAGGGGTCTAACTTGTAAATATTGATAGTTGTAGGGTTAGCTTGTAAATGTTAGTTGGTCAGGATTAGTCAATGTATTTATATATATATATATATATATATATATATGTTGTTCAGAACGGTTTACTGTATGATATTCATTTTTACATCTCTTCAATATATTCAAGTTTCCAGAATCCTCAATCCTCTCAGTTTGTCAACTGTTTCACCGGAAACCACCATAACCTCTGCTGTACTCCGGTGACCTATATATACCTCTCATACCTCTCGGAACAAGAAACTCCTTCATTCGCCAGATCAAAACACTGAATCTGCGTTCTTCAATCTTTGTTGAATCGAATCTGGAAGCAAAGATGTCTTCTTGGACTAGGGTTGGTCTTCTGGGAGAGGGTGGTTATGGTATCGTCTCCTTGGCGAAGGCATCTTCTTCATCAACCGCTGATGTGGGTTTGGACCTGAAATTGCCTCCCCTGTTCGCAGGGAAAACGTCGAAATTCTGCCTCTCGCAACTGTTAGAGGAGGAGAGGCTTTTGTTGAGCGAATTGCAAGATTGTCGCAATATTATTCAGTATTACGGATCTGACATTACTGAAGAAGACAGCGTGAGGGAGTTTGTTGGATCGTATTTACTACTCTGTGACTACCTTACTTGAGGATGAAGTAAGGCGACACACTAGATCGATTCTCAAGGGACTCAGTTATTTTCACGGAAAAGGGTTTGCCCATTGCGATATCAAGCCCAACAATATCCTTTTGGTCGACGACGGCACCGGATCCAATGTCACCAAAATTGCTAATTTCGGGCCCTCCAAAAGGGTTGTGAAAAGTTAGACAAAACAGGGGAAAAGGAAATTGAAGATTGATTGGAGATTCTGGAGGAGAACGGCGGTGTACATGGCACCGAAATCGATTCTCAGGATGAATATGATTTGCAGTTGATATTTGGGAGCTTGGGTGTTCTGTTTTTGAGATGCTTACCAAAAGAGTCTTCATAAATATTTCCAACTCCAAAGTCAAAGATAAAGCTGTGCTTCTAGTAAAGATGGCAAACCAGAGGGTTGAAATTCCTGAAGGGTTACCCAACGAAGCTAAAGATTTTCTGGAGAAATTGGGAAGCGCGAATTTGATTATTTTCTTGGCAAGTTGGCCATTTGGAATCTTTATGCACCAACTTGAGGGGTATTGGTAAATATGATGTAATATTTAGTATTATTACTTTTACCGTAAGTTAAGGTAACTCTAACCCTAATAGTTGTATATAGAGCGCTTGTATTCCAACGTAATACATACATCTTTCTCCTAAATTATCATGGCATCAGATCAGGTTTTTACCGCGGCCGCCGCCGATGCTATTTGTTGAATTCTTTGCTACTGCTAATTTCTTTTGGTTCTTGCTGCTTTGATGATTTTTGGTTTTTGGTGATTTTCTGCCGTGGATTGACTACTTCTATCAAGCTTTGTTTGTTGATCTACTGTCTTCGGCCGCCGAGTTTCAATTTTCGACGTCCTTTGCTGCCCGGGTGTTGCTCCGCCTGTTTTTTTTTTTTTTGTCATACATCGTGGGACTCATAGTTGCTGCCCTTCTTCTTCTTTAATCCCTGGTATATTGGTTTTAATTTTGTCGGTCGTCGGCCTCATATTTGTTGATTTTTGGGTCGGCGTACTTGTGATTTTTATTCTTCTCATCCTGGTTTATTGCCTTCTCATATTTGCTACTTTTGGCTCTGATTTGGTTTCCGTGATATAACAAGATAGTGGTTTTGATTTTTATAGTGGTTTTGATAAGATACGGATGCTACTTATGTCCAATATCGTTGTTTTGGTGGTGGTTTAGCATGGGTTACCACTATCCAGTCTCTTATTGATGTATTTTTTTTAAGTTTGGTCCTATTCTCGATACAAGAATCCTCTATGATCGTGAGATCGGACAATCGAGGGGATTTGGTTTTGGGACTTTTAAAAATGAACAAGCACTGAAGAATGCAATTGCGAGAATGGAGGGTCACCTTCTAGATGGCTGTAATATTTCAGTCAAAAAGGCTCATTCTTATTGTTATGCTGGTCGTTTCGTTGCGAATGGACATTTAAAGGTCGCAGCTATCGGTTTGAATTATGAGAAATGGAATTCATTGTTGAGTTTGTTGCATTCTGCAAAGCAAGGAGGTGCCGAAATAATAACTAATTAGAATTCTTATGATTGTGAAGCGACCATCATATGACAGGATTTTTGGATTATTTGGTTGATGTACACGAGATTGAGGCACGTCCGGTACAATTGCCAAATGGAGATGTAACTACATCTACAAAGGCGGGAATAGTGTATCTCAGTCAGCATGTCATTTTGTTTAATGTTCTTTACATTCCCTCTTTGAAATGTAGCTTAATATCATTGTACCACTTGTTGGAAGATTCAGGTTGTATATCTCAATTCACTAGTAAAGATTGTGTTGTACGGGATTGCACTTCGAGGAAGATGATTGGAGCTGGTGAACTACTGGGGGGACTTTATTTTTTCCGAGGAATAGTGGAAGCATTGGCGGCGCCAGTTCGTGTTGAAGGATCTTTAGACCTATCGCATAAACGATTGGGACATCCACCTTCTAAGGCTGTTGAGAAATTGTGTAGCATTGGTCCTAGTAATAATGTTAATGTTCATAACGATGTGTGTGATGTGTGTGTGTTTGAGCTAAGAATACTAGAGACAGTTTTCCTCTTAGTACAAATAATGCTTTGGAAGCTTTTCAATTGATTCACTGTGATTTATGGGGTCATTAGCGCATTCCAGCTTTCTGTGGAGAACGTTATTTCTTGACTATTGTGGATGATTTTTCATGTGCAACATAGATTTATTTGCTTGTTGATAAGTTTGAAGTATCTGTAACTTTGCAAAATTTCTTTGCTACGGTAAAACGTCAATTTGATTGCTTGGTTAAGACTGTTCGTAATGATAATGGCACTGAGTCTATTTGTTTGACCAAATATTTTCGCAAATCTGGCATTTTGCATGAGATCTCTTGTGTTGGTACACCACAACAAAATGGTCGTGTGGAACATAAGTATCGGCACATTCTTAATGTTGCTCGTGCTTTCATTTTCAGGCCAATATGCCAATTGAGTTTTAGGGCCATTGTGTATTGGCTGCTGGCTACTTGATTAATCGCAACCCTACTTCTGTGTTGAATAATAAGACCCTTTTTGAGATGTTGTTTGCAAAAACCCCAGATGTTAGTCATTTGTGGGTTTTTGGCTGTTTGTATTATGTGCATAATCAAGACCAAAAGGGTGATAAGTTTGCTAGTAGAAGTCGCAAATGTATTTTGTTGGCTATCCATATTGGAAAATGGGGTGGTCTATTTATGATCTTGAATCTGGTGTTTTCTTTTTTTCACGTGATGTGAAATTTTGGGGAGAAGTGTTTCCTTGTATGGCACACAATTCCAGTGTTGTTCCTTCTCGTTCTGAGACACAATTGAGTGATTGGCATGTTGTTGTTGATGATGATGATGATGATGGTACTGTGGTCATTAATACACTGCCATCTTCCGTTGTGGATCTACCTACCTCGAATCCATTAACATCTTAGGGTTTGTACTAAAGTCAGAGGGGTACAGAAGATGCAGAGCCTCCTGAGATATTGGGTCATGAAAATCATACTAAGTATCCTTCTTCTCGATTGTGCGACTATATGACTGATACCATTCGTTCCTCTAAACCCCGGCTAGTTTATCAGTTTCATCCCTATTATCCAATACACTTATCCTATAGCTCATTATGTTGATTGTAATTCTCTTTCGAAAACACATCAGAGTTTTTTGGCAGCTGTAGCTGCTGAGGTTGAGTCTCGCACATATGCTGAAGCTTTTGCACATGAGAAATGGCCTTCCGTAATGCAAATTGAGATTCAGGGACTTGAAGATAATCAAACATGAACTGTGGAAAATCTTCCTTCTGGCAAGAAAGCTATTTGTTGTAAATGGGTCTACAAGATTAAACATCGGTCTAATGGCACTGTTGAGCGCTATAAAGCTCGTCTCATCATTCTTGGAAATAATCAGGTTGAAGGACTCGATTATACAGAGACTTTTGCTCCTATTGCGAAGATGGTGAATGTTCGTACATTTCTTGCTGTTGCAGCTGCCAAGAATTGGGAACCTCATCAGATGGATGTATATAATGCATTTTGCATGGTGATCTTGATGAGGAGGTGTACATGAAAATGCCTCATTTTCATGTACAAACTGAAATATATGCAAACTATGGTCATTTTAATCATTTCAATGTTTAATCTCTACTCATAGCATATAACATAGTACTACGAAAATTTGAGAATTTTATAGTAGTTCAAGTGAAAACTCGGGGGTAAAGTGTAGTTCGCCCAAGTTTTTATGTTAAAAAAATCGTTCCATTTTTTTATTTACCAAATATCTCTTGAGAAAATTTATAGAATTCATGTTCCTTTTTTTTTTCCCGGTACAATGATTGAGGCGAAAATCTAGTGACTAGATAAGTAAATTTTGGAGATACACGACCCCTATAATATCATGCTCTAGTCATTATTTGACTTCTGGTAAATAAGGTTCTAATCTATGTAAACTTCCTGAGAAGTAAGCTACTAATGAAACTAAATAATCACTAACAAAATTTGCTTATCGAAACTTATATTTAGCTCAAACATTCTTGACTTTAACAAGTCTCGAATATCATGTTCCCCTATTGTTGTCTTGGTACTGGTTAGATAGCTTTTTTTTTTTGGACAAATTTGTTAGATAGCTAATTAGTTGGGTATGGTCATTCTTTACATCACCATAAACATTGAACAAGAGAAAGCAATGGTAGAAAAGATTAGGGGATGCTAATTTAATCTCTTGGGATTGAAGGTAGAAAATGAGAAAATTTCATTACATGAACCTGTGGGCTGTGATAGATGTTGTCTTTCAGCTCATTACATTCCTCAAGCTAATTTGATACGAGGAAATTAAAAAAAGCAAAACAGAAGACAAAAATCTAGGCAATGATCCTACATAAAGAATACTATATAACTTAAAAATTACCCTAAAGGGAAAAAAAAAAAGAGAAAAAATAAACGTTATTTGATAACACTATTTCTTGGAAGAAATTTGATTTCAATCATTCCTCAAACAAAGTATAATAATCTCTTTCCCTGTGATTTTGTGTGGGAGCTTGTCTGTGTATGGCTGGTATTATGTAACTCTTTAATCTCATTTAAGACCCTTTCTCCGGAACTGTAGTAATTTATGTCTGCCGTTTTTACACCTATCAACTTGAACTTTTCTTAGAATACCAGAGTTTCTTTTGGCATACCAATATTTTCTCCTTGTCGACGCCATATTCTGTTTCTTCTTTACGACATCCCCACTTCATTCCCTTGGCGACAGTTGCAACTGCATCGACAAAATAACTAGATTCACGGATTATTGCATATCCGTTAGGCCTCAAGATCCTATCCATCTCCAGCAAGACGTATTTCATTTCACACCTGTCCAACAACAGCAGCACATTAGTCCCAAAGAACACTCCGATAACTAAAATCTGGATCATGAAATGCATCGGGTATCGGGTTTTAATCAGGGTATCAGATTAAATGGCTACAAATGTAACATAAGTAGCTAGGGAGTTCAGTACCAGGCTGCCAATACTATTGAAACGCAACTGCTTAGCAACATAAAAAATAAATAAATGAATAACTTATTATATCGCCCCAGAGTTCACATCATTCTACAGGAATTTGGCCCAAAACTCAACTTGCACAATCATAATTGGGGACAGCTTGAAAGTTGGGACTATAAGATGAGAAAAAGTTTCAGAATCCAGATTGAAAGAGGAATCTGATCCAACATATAAATTAAATGATAACAGAACAAACCACGAGAAATCATTCTCTAAGGGGAAACAAAGGCATCAGTAGTAGAATCTACAGAGACAAATGCAAAACTGAAATTTTCCAGGAAAAGGCGTACCTGTGGCTTTCAGATGTAAAGAGGCCATCAAGATGAAGCAGATCATAAGTTCGGGGATATGTTGAAAAAGCCTCGCACCTTCACAATCAGAAAAGGACACATTAGAGCAAATAAAGAAAGCAGAAATAAAAATTTAATCCCAAGGCCATTGGAAATGATATGGACTTTTCAATATGCAACACAAAACTTACCAGTCATGGTAGGTTCCAATGAGTCCCCGGTCAAACACAACTGGAAGAGTGTTCGCAGCATATGACGAAACCACATTCATGACCCAAAGAGGATCATCAATCAAAGCAGCAGCCAAACCTCCATACTGCGTGTTCATATCCATCACATTCCTTATTTTGTCAGTACCAATAGCAGGAAGCAACTTCTTGTAATGCTTTACGCGGTTCTTCCATTTATTATCATCATGATTGAAGGCACCCTCACTGCCACCACGAACATCAGACACCCGCTCTGGTGCAACATGCAACCTTTGAGGCCACTTGGGAAGGGATTTTAACCCTACTTTTTTAAGCTTCTGGTCAGGAACAACAACGCAAGGCCGAAGAGGAGTGTACCATGCAGAATCTGGCTCTGTACCATCATCACACTTAGTCGGGTAGTTATCTGGAGAATCGAGCTTCTTATAGCAGCTATTGTCAGAAGTTTTCTGCCACACAGCAATGTCATCTTTCTTCTTGTAAAATTTGAAGCACATTGAAGTAAGGAGTTCCTGCAACTTTTCATAGTTATCTTTCTGCTCCTCAATTGTAGTGTTCCATCCTTTCCAGCGGTTTTCATAGTTCACAGGCGGACCAGAGAGAACCCAGAAACCCCCAGGACGTAGGATGCGATGAATTTCAAGAAGGTACAATCCACCTGAAAACAAGAACAAATGGCTCTGGATTATGAAGTGGACCCTGTGCAAACATAATATCTGTTTCCAGCCATAACAAATGCTGAAGAAAAGCTTTACTAGATATCAATTTATGGAGATACAGAAGTGTTTCTTATCAATTCACATGATTTGAAATTTGAAAAAGAAATGAATAGGAAATTCAACCCCTAGCATTTCGGATGATATAATTTACCAAATTCAGTCCATGGAATAAGGCATCTGGAGCAGTGAGCCATATCAAAAGAATTTGAGGGGAAAGGAAGTCTTTGAGTTGAAATGATTCCAAGAATAGCAGGAATTCCACGTTCTAGAGCAAACTGAACTTGAGCTTCATGATTATCTCTTGGTGCAAGAGAAACTGTCAAAATATTGCGATCTAGTAAATCACCTCCCCAGCTGGCAACCTACAGATAGCAACAATGTTAACTCAACATATCATCTTTGGGAAACGAAGTTACTCTATTATGGGGTTTGCGGTAATTTAATTCAGTCAATAACAGCCAAGACAGCAGGAACTTTTATTGTTTCTTCTTAATTATCAAACTTGAAGACCTCTTCAGATATTAAAGATACATAATCCCTCATCCTTCCTCACGTAATTACCAGAAAGGAAAAACACAAAAAGCTATCGAGTTGAAGATTTGTGCTCAATGTGCAATTGCCATAAAATGTAATTGGTTTCTAATGTACAAATTAATGCCGAAAATTACATACAAAATAGGAAAGGGCAGTTACACTGTATTTCAAGAAGCACAAAACCATACTCAAGTGAGACCGGATACAACTAGCAAGGACATCAAATAAGTTTAACTGTAGAAATTCGTCATACAGGAGCAACCTCAAATCAATACTTGAAATTTGGAGCAACGACATCAACAAAAAAAAAAAGAAAAAGAGCACAACTTTAGCAGAGACAGAAAATGTCAAGGCAGACTAACCCCACAGCCAGTATCAATAGCAGTCCGAATTGTTCCATCTTTCATTCCGGGGACTAGATCCTGCATCAAATCAACATACTCTCCAACACCATTAGGAAACATGGTACCACCACCAGGAAAAAGGAACTTGTCCCCTTCTTTTTGAAGCCAATGCTGATTGGACTTCTGTTTGTTAATCCAATCATATGGAACATTCCTGAAAAAAGAACCGCGGAAGGATTTTTTGTTACATCAAAATGGATCAATATAGATAGGGAGGATAATGGAAGAGCAGAAAAGGTCTTAACTTTGAAATACAATCAAAATGGCCTATTACCTGTACCAACATTGATCTCTGCTCTTAGGCCATCTGATAGGCACCTTGTAGCCATCTGGGGGAGGAACTAAGCATTCTTTCTTTTCAAATATTGGAGGGCAATGCCGTTCCATAAAGGTAAGCCTTTGCATACCAAACTTCCTCCATCTCTGTATAATGAGTGAAATGTCGCCCATTTAGCAAAAGAAATGCAGCGAAGTAATATTTCCAACAAAACAAAGAACAGGAAATTCTAGTTCAAAGCAAGGGGCGCATGTGCCAACAGACCTTTGGATCTGTACACGGAGTATAGTCCTGATAATCAAGGCCACAATCTGGAAAGGAAACATCTTTAATTTGGAGAGGTGACACGACGGCATTGGATTTGGATGATGGAACTTCATCTTTTACTTCTGTGGTTGTGAAGTTTTCCTTCTCAGAACAAAATATTCCACCAAGATAAAATGATAACCCACACAACACAACAAACAGTAGAGCAGTGGGTACTTTAGAATTCCTATCTGGAAGTGGTTTTCCATCTTTGTCTTTATGCTTCATGATTCCAAAAATGATCAACTAACTGCAAACAGAATGGAAGACACAGATCAGTTCAAAAGCCTGAACAAACAAACAGATTGGAGCCGAAAGGTAAGCAAAAGATCTGAAATTGAGCTGAAGGTATATCATACATTAAAGCCAAGAATCAAATAGCAGTACTTAAGCGGCACTTAATAAGGATATTTTACAAACAGTAACAACACATTCAGTTCAATGCACTGTGCAGCAAATTAATGACTTCAACAAGAATATACAGAACAACATACAGAGTTCAACCCTACAGAATTCAATAAACAGTAGCTCTCTGAAGCAAAACAAGCAACAAATTCACAGATCTGCTTGTCAAAAACAGCACAAGGAAACAAGCAGCAGAACCTGTAATAACTACAAGATCTGGTTGCAACTACCGACGTCGTACAAACAATCTGATGTTACTTTGGATTTAAAAGTCCACATGATCTGGGTCCCAAGCTGCTTGCCTTTATGAAATTCAGCCGGCCTCATACTAATGAGGGCCCTCTTGGCCAATTAGTCAGAAAAAGGTATTGAGAAAAAGAAAGGAAAAACTAAACCATGCAAAAACCTCCAAGACAAGAATGGGAAAACAACACCCTTTTTGGTAGGACCATTAAATATAGTAACTAATATCACAGCCATAATTAAGAAAGAACAAAGTGGAAAAAGCATCACTTGAGATTGACGAAAAGTAGCCACTATTTAAATAATCGTGTAACCAAAATCCAGTCTTTGAAGAATCTACCAGCACAGGGACCTGGTTTTTAGACGTCAATCAAGAAATCGAACAAACAGAAGCAAAAATGGTGCATTAATAAAGACCCATATCACATCAAATCCAGAACAACATGATCCCAGTTTAGTTCATGACCGGTAGAAGCTGAATCTTTCTTTTATTGAACAAAGATGGATGAACTTCAAGATACGGAAATTTTGACAACAAATTGGGAGAACCATTAGTTGTTCCTGAACCAAAATCTTGAAAAAATACGTCTTGCCCACTGCATTAACCGCTAAAATCGAGAAACAATATAAACACAAAAACTGCCAAAGAGTCCAAATTTCGATCCTTTTTCTTACTCTGTTCTATAAAACTTCAAGAAAAATGCTAGAGAAAAAAGGACAATTGAGCATAAATACCAATCAAGAATCAGAGATACAACGAAGAAAGAAAGACAATGTTAAAGATCTGACAGAGATCTGCCAGAAACGGAAGCAGAAACCCAAACAAGTACAGCAACAGGGGAAAACAGAGCATGAGAGAAAAGGACTGCCAACAAGAAAAAGTACCTCTATACAAAAAAGTATCTGATAAATGTCAATGTATGATTGTAGTAACAGCCCTTCAAAAAAGGGGTCCTCCAAATGTAATCAAATCTCAATTCCCCTCTGCCCACAAATGCAGAATATGATGAACTCACAGTTTGCAGGCTGAGAGATCTAATCTATCCTCAAGAAAAAGAATAGAGAAAGAAGAAGGAAAAAATTAAAAGGGATTGTAGAGGAGAGTGAATTGGGAAAGAGAATTAAAAAGAATAAGTGATAGATATCTCTGCCTCACAAAAAGGGATAGCCAAACATATCAAAACAAAAGTTTTAAAGATATGGGGGAAAGACAGACTGAGGCAAATGGTAATGACAAGAGATGGGGTGCTTTAATAAGGAAGAAAATTACCCCCCAAAATATTGTAATTAATCAATCAATCCTTGTTCATAACATGCACACATTACCATCACCACATTTTTAACTTTCCCTCATAACTTTAAAAAATAAAATAAAGCAAAGATTTGTCAAATTTTCTTCTCAAATTAAGCCCCAAGTAGAGTAATAAGCTAGCTGTCTTTGTTTCCTTTTTCTTTTTTCTTTGCCTTTTTTTTTTAACTTTATTTCTTCGATCCCTATCACCCCTCTATTATTAGGGTCCCTCTTCCTCATCCTTCGTGGACCTTTCCTAAAAAGATTTTTTTTTTTTTTTGTAGGGTTTCCCAAATCTCTTTCTCTCTCTAAGATGAAATGCATGTCATCATTATCAGGTGAAGGGTGAGAAAGAACTGATAAACCCCAGCTGTGAGTAGGCAAAAGGTTTCACACACAATTGGGCTCTTTGCAGATTCTTCATTCTTCTGTAATTATCAGGTTGTTGGCCCCATAATTTTTCCCAAATCAATTTTCTGAAGGAAATTTCTCAGTTTCTGGTGTAATTTTTTTTTGTTTTTTTTTTTTTGGTGGGTTCGAAGGATATGAACAATGTCAGTATTTTTGGGGGGTGACTCACCGGAAAAAACTGTTTAACAGTGGATCAATTACCAATGGCAGGCGTCCACGTAAGCGGATTGAAAAGAAAGGTTGTTTGTTTTCCTTTCCTAGGAAAAGTTGCCCAATCTGGGAGATCTGGAGTACATCGCTTTTAATGAATGAATACCACAATATAATTTGATTGGGAAGGGTTAAATCAAAAGTCAATTTGCAATTACAAAAATTTGCCTAAATTATTCACTTTAAAAACACCTTCTCATCTATTACTATTAACTTTAATATGGTATCGGTTGATTGTAATGTAAGTTACTAGTATATTAGAATACCATACCCAAATTACGTGTATGCTCATTAGTCGAACCAAAAATTGACCATGACAAATAAATGGTTAACATTTTTGGAATAGAATCATGCGTAGACTCTACTTTTAGTTACCCAAAACCAAATATATACTAACCCCTACTGTCATTAAAATACTATATGTTTTGGACTTGTACATCCACACCGTATTTGGTGTTAAAAATGTCTTATCTCAATTAATTAACCAATTAATCTAAGTTCAAGTTTTTCTTCTTGGCCCTCGAGTTTAAGAGTAAAGACGTGTGAATAAATGAAAATTATATAGTTAATAAAAAAAAAACATTTTGTCTGGCAAAATTACGTAGGGTATACTATTAGGGGAGGTAAAGTTGGCCTCAAATTATTTTTATCTAGTTTCAATAACTTGGATTAAGACACATTTTAATCAATTGTTACCTTGAGGTACTTGATGGTAATTAAAATTAAGAGATTATGGCGAATTATACAACCGCTGATAAGTTTTAGGGTTTTTTTGGGGGGGCGGGGGGCAATTTATTAGTTGAAGAAACAAGATTTAAACAGTATTCCTCGTAAGCAAGCATAAACTTTTCCTTTCTCGCATTATTTTTGCTGGCTTCATCCATAATTACATCAAAGGAAATGAGATTAAAAAAAAATTTAAAAATACTTTAATTATCAAGAAGCAATTATTGGTTTGATGGTTGATACACATCCTCGTTCTTTGGATATTTCCAAATAATCTAAAAATTATCTTTATTCAACGATCATATATTTGTCCACATTAAGCTATAAACATGAGGTTTTAGGAAATGATACCTTGTCTACTCACTCAATTATTCGATTAAATCACCAATTATTGGGTAGATAATTAATTAATTTTAATACATACTCCATTTTCGCGCGGAGCTAAATATATAATTTGAGGATGTAATGCTCCATCTACTACTACTACCTAGAGTAGAACCGACAGTCAAAGAAAATATTAATGCAAAGATTAAAAAAAAAGGGGGGGAATCAAGTACAATTAAATGGAATAGTTAAAGATTAAATTATATTCCTTTTTAGAATTGACTCAAATAATTTGATTCTCAATGACTACATATTCGATACCAGTTTGAAATCATTAATTTATGATTCAGATATTTTTATGGAAAAAATATCTTTTTTTCTTTTCTTGTGCCTAATGAAACACCTCCCCCCTGTAAGTAAATGTATTCAAAAGTTGTAATATTAAAATAATAAAACAAAGAAAACATAATCTACCTCTAGTTACAACAGAAAAGTGTTTGACCCAAGATTAATTTCTTCTTTTTATTTACCAACGTTTTAGTAAGTCATAAAGTTTGATCGTTTTACCAAATAAGGTTCTCATTTTTATTTTGAAGGGTTACCAATTAAGGTTTTTACCTTATAAGGTGAACGAGAAGAATTGAAATCACATTATTAAGGTCACATTACCCTTGCTAGTTTGTATTTGTAGATCTCATTTGGGCACTTAAGGTTCTTTTTTCGCCGGTCATTACTATAACGGTATAACCTAGATGTACACCAAATCTATCCCAGTAATGAGCTCGGAATTTTATAGACAATAATTAACCAATCATAATAATGTAAGGAATAAATTTTTATATTTATATAAAAGTAAGATTTAAGTTGCATGATTCGGAAATTGGAAAAGCGTAAAGTGTAATTATCACTAGTTCTATCATTTTATGATTTTAATAATTCTTCCTTAAGCCCTATATTTTTTTTTTTTTTCCGTAGATCTGTGTTTTATTTAGCTTTGGGACGGGAAACAATAATACAGTATTTAACTACAAGTGCACTGAGAAAACACAAGTAAAACTTATAGTAATGCCGAAGTGAAGTTCTACCGTAGAAGCAGCTTTCACATGGATTGGCATATGGCAATTCGTAGGCCCCCAGACGACCGGGAAACTCTCCTCATAAATTCTGTCGGTTTAGGCTCAAAAAAAAAAAAAAAAAAATACTGTTCTTTTCCAATTTCCTCTCTTTGTAAAGATGAAACATAATTGTTATATTTTGGACAGAAGAGAGATAAGTAATTATGTACTCCCTCCATTCCAAAATAAGTGTCGTTTTAGCAAAATAGAAAAATTCCAAAATAAGTGTCGTTCTCACATTTCAATATACTTTTTGTCAAAAGTTTCCAAAATTACCCTCAAAAGAGTTGATGCTATTGGTAGACAATTTTATAATAGGGTTGGTTGAGGATATTCAAGTAATTTTATTACCCTATTTAAGAGTTTCTTAAACTATGTGCAAAGTGTAGGACGACAATTATTTTAGAATGGAGGGAGTACACTATTAGATCACCGGTTATGGTATTAATAACAAAGAAAGAAACAAGAAAGCTAGGGTTCATAGTAAAAGAGTAACTCTAATGGTAGTAACATTTGCATGGAAGAGTGAGATACATAAATTAAAGATATTCGGGAGAGCTTTTTTTAAAATATAATAGTACCTAATTACCGTAATTAACCCACTGAAATTTTCAATATTAAAAAAATACTAGTACTCTAATTTTCTAGGTGTTGTGCAAGAGAGAGAGAGAAAGAGATTAAAACGCGTTGACATGTTTGACGGTGCTCGTGTTCAGCAGCTAAGCAGCTAGCCCGATGCAAAGTACCCCATGAACAACGTTGAATCTTGTCTTCTTTATTCTTTCTTTGAAGTCATCTTTGGATGAAATCAATGCAAATATTTATTCAGTGAAGTTTCCGAACTAAGTTCTTATATTACCCTCCCTGTACCATGCTATATTTAGTTCCATGTTAGGTTAAGGATATTCAGGACAAATGGTTGACAATTTGAAATATACTAGTAAGCTTTCTTCGCTACTTATTGAGATTTAGAGTTTGATTCCTAGTGAAGGTGCTTTTTGTGCCCCGAGTTTGCAAATTGTCAAACAAATACTTTATCTGTTAAAAAATTATTGTTTAATTTATATATTCACTTTTAATGAAATTTAAATTAAAATAAAAATCTAATTCAGATAATAATTTCGGAAAGGAGAGGGTAATAATTAGGTGCTTTACACTAGAGTTTTGTCAAATTTTGTCATCGATCTTTTTTTTTTCCCATGAACTCGTGTAATGTATTACGTGTTCTATAGTATACACACCATGGACACAATTAAATGATGCTCTATCCTCGCATTTCTCATTCACATGGGCACTTCCTTCCCACCGCACTATTTATGGGGGGCTTCTAGTTCTAGTTACATGCACGAGTCAATGGCGGCGTTTCATCTTCATTTTTTTCTTACTTCACATTGTCGGTTGCCCTTCTTTTTTTCTCCCTTTTGTCACAGAACATTAAGTGCCAAGTAGAACACTACTAAAGTATTATTTCATTACAAAAGTAGAACACTAAAGTAGAACACTAGGGACCCCGAAAGAAATCAAATGCTAATTTAGTAGATAGAAATGATATTTATAGTAAATAAATTTCCTAATGAAATGAATGGCGATATATGTATAAACAATCATTGGATATCATCAAATTTTAGATAGCCCACAAGTTGGTGTACGTTTGTAATTGGAACACGATATATTAGGTGTTTATTGCTCACCAAACGTTGTAATTTAAATTTATGGATGTTTAGCCTTTTTTATTATACAAAAAAAATAATTCATTATACAATAATGTACAGTATAGATATTAAGAATATGATTGTGTTGATCGGTTAGTTTTTTATTTCACCAATTATTATTATCAGATAATACTATCAATAAAATTTACTAGAGATATTACTTTGAATGAATATATGCTTATCAACACAAGAGTGATACTTTTTCTCTTGTTATGCATGATAAACAATTAAACTGCGAATGGCTATTACAGGGTCATGAAGTATTATTACTACATGTTAATTAATTAACTGTATATTCTACTTTGTACTTTCAATGTTTCTGATCCTTTTTTCGTTTAGATCTAGACCGTACGAATAAGAAACAGTACACCAGACACTTTCTTTTTAAAGATAAAGAATTTGGGGGGAAAAAAATATGAGACACGAAATTCGCAGGGCCATTATTAAGGAGGTCAAGTCTACTTTGCATAAATTAAATAACTAAGTTAATCAACGAATCTCCTAAGTCCAATTATGAATGATACTTTGTCGGCAACGACAACCTTAGCTTGGCTTAAGACGAGACTATTGGTTAGTAATAGCTTTGTGTTTTATAATTAATGCGATGATATTATTTTATTCAAAAACAATATATTTAACTTAAACAATTCAAACCCGCATTATTCTGGTAAAGTTATCTCATTCTACTAATGAGATCCAAAAGGGTACACAATAAATAGAACCTAGAACCTCATTTCTTGCATTAGAAGGGAGGACAAAAATGAGGGTTGCATTTTGAACTTAAAAGTGTAAATAACAAAAAGAAAAAAAAGGAGTCGTATAGTATCTTAGCGTGCATTGTTCCTTAATAAGGCCGCAAGACGAAATGATTCTATTGATGTGTCAGCTCAATTAATTTTATGTGCATTTCTCATTAAACGATAATGCCAATCCTAAGCTCTAATTAACAATTAGACGAAAAGAGTTTATGGTAATAAAGAATTTAAATACTATAACGATTTATCGAACGAGTGTAATGTAATAGTGATTATTACGAGTGTAATATAATAGTGACTAATAGTGATTTATCGATATGCCTTTCCTCTTCTTCTTCTTATATGATAGAACAGTGTCAAATTATAGTGAAATGTAATAGTGACTAATGAAAGGATAAATATATTGTCCTTATTAAAAATGTGTATTTATTAATTAAGGGTAAAAATATAATTTTTATGGAAAAATAAAATTTTAACGAGAAAATAGCTAAAAACTAGGACTCAAGAATATTCCACATCACTCACTATCTGTTTCACTATTTATTTTTTCACAATACATATTATTTTCCTATTATTATTATTTTTTAAAATCTGTTTTTGAGGTTTTTGAGGTCCGTTTGGATGGGTGTTTTGTTTTGAGAACCAATAGTGCTCTCCAGTTGACATCATTCCTATAATCATTCAAATTAAAGCTCCGTCCGCTTGTATGTCTCGGCGAGTAACTTTCAAATGCTGAGAAGTTTTTCATCCAAAAAACAAATATGCAATTTAAAAATCTTTTTGCTGTGTTATTTCATCTCTCAAAATGTGTACAATCTACTACCTCCTTCTCAAAATTATTGTCCAGTTTAGATTTTCATTTATAAATATATAAATGAAAATCTAAACTGGACAATAATTTTGGATTTTTATTTACAAATATATAAATAAAAATCCAAACTGAACAATAATTTTGGTACCGAAAGAATAACAGAATTTACTTAACTACACAGTGGGCTTAAAAACAATGGGCTAATAAACAGTGGCCTTAAAAACAAAGATGGATTTTTGTAGCTTCGACTTTGAAATTTCAAAGAAAAAGTCAACTACTTCCCACACGTACGCGTAAGCACCGGTTGTGTATGCTCCGTATAACTTTCTGTTTTTTTTTTTCAAAAAATAAAAAATAAAATAAAATAACTGAAGGTATTTTCTTCACCCATTGATTTTTATTTTTTAATTAGAGAGCACTATACGTGCGCAATCTCTAGTATATATACTTAATTAAAACAGTAAACAAAAAGGACATGTGTCAGCACCACAATAAAAATTTTCCCGCCAAAAGGTATTTTCAGTGCAAAATCATTTTTGACATGTGTCACTCTAACTAATCAGAAAAAAAGATGGAATAGATAAATACATAAATTCCTTAATTATAGCTACATAAAAATTTCTTAATTATAGATATATACTAATTCCTTAAAACAACAATATTTAGTTGATAAAATCAAATGTAAGGAAATCCCCTTAAATCAAGTGAAACACCAGTAATGTCTTCTCAATCCTCAATTTCAAAAGATCTCTTCCATTCCGCTCCCATCTCACACCCGGGCCTTTAAATCAATTACTTAAAATCTGACATCAATTATCAATCCATCTCTTTCCACAACAGAGAAAAAATAAGCTGTCATGAAAGAAATTTGATTTTTTAAGGATGATTTTTTTATTCTTCTGTTGTAGACATTGGTTTATGATTTATGTAAACTCGGGCATAAGTTAACTATTGTAAATTAAATATTATAAATCTGGGCATAGATTTATGTGTAATAACTCACATTCTGTCCTTTCAATCGATTTTTTATTCTTCTATTTTTTTTATTCTTTTAAGAATGATTCGTATTTTTTATTTAATCGATTTAAAAATACAGACGGCACCCCAGACATTCGCCCGGGGCAAGCATCTAGTTAGTAATATGGTATATGCACACATCAAATATTGGCAATCTTCTCCATGAATCGAAATACAACAAGTTTCATTTGCTGAAATAAATAAACGTATATAATTTTGGATAATCTGAAGAGGGAGCTTATGTTGAGCAGTAAACTAAAGGATTTGTAATTTCTGACTTTCCAATTTTTATTCAGTAATAATATGCATCATCCTTATATGTTTAATTTTTCGTTTCCTACAAAAAAAAAAAAAAGAGAAAAAAAATCCCGTTTTGTCAGGTTATTTTTAACTCAAGAAAATGAAAAAGAATCAGTAGAAACTGACGCACGCTTGCAAACAATCTCAGACGAAAGTGTGTAATTCGTGAGATACAATATTGACAAGCCGTCGTCACACTAGTCAAATAATAATTACCTACTTAATACAATTACTAGTAGTAAAGCAGAAAGCAGGGTCGATCCCACAGAGAAGGAATACTAATTACCAGGTATAAATTACTCCTATTATTATCTAGATAAATGATGATCTCAGAGTTATAAAATTTAAAACTAAAATAAATAAATAAAATAAAAGCAAATAATATTAATTCAAATAATCAGACAAAGAAAACCTAGGACATTGGGTTCACCTACCGAATATTTGGGTTAGTTCAATTCATAACTATCTGACTTTTAACTTCCATTAATCTCACAACGATTCACCTAATTAAGAACTATACACTCTCGTGTTATAATTCTCTTACTTAGATTAACCCTATGACTACTCTCGTGACTATAGGAATTAACAAAAGCACATTAAGACCATTAAGAATCAAATATTGCAAAGGTTATAATCTTACTCTCGTAGCTTATAACCTAAGTTTATTATTCCTACGAACTAATATTAATCTTCCACTCTCGCTACTTCGATTAATATCTTCAGACATGCAAATAGTGACCAATTACTTACACGAATTAAAACAAGAATAACAAATATTAATTAATGGAAAAGTCAAATAATAATGAACCAAATAAACCAAATAAATTCGGTGGCTACACCCAAGCCCTAGATTAAAAGAATTTAGCCACTAAACATTATTAAAAATAATTCAATAATATTTAGAGACATAATAAAAAATAAATAAATTAAATAATTAAACTTTAAAACCGAATGAAGCCTAAACCGCCAAAAACTCCCCTCGGTTGTTTAGCTTTGCTTCGCGGCTGCTGCTTCGGTGGTGCGGCGGGTGAGCAAGATGGGCAGAGATGGAGGTTTCGGTGATGCTCGGCTGCTGCTGTGCGAAGGCGAGGGAGCAGGGTGCTGCTGGCTTTCTCGGCGTGAAGAAGCAGAGGTGGTGATGATGCTGCCGAAGAAGGAGGGCTGCGTGGAGTATAGAGACGAGGTGGAGAAGGAGGCTGCCGGTGAAGGAGGAGAAGGGCTGGTGTGGTGGTTATGGAAGCAAAGCGGCGGTGAAGATGGTGGCCGGCTGCTTCGCGTGGATGATGGAGGAAGAAGGTGACGGCCGGCTGAAAGAGGAGGGAGTTCGGTGGTTTTCGGTCAAGTTTCGGTTCAGTTCTGTTGTAAAAATAAATCCCTAATCCTCCTTTTATAGGCTTCCGGCTAAACCCTACTCCTTGAAGAACAAGAAAACTTGTTTCCCAATTAATATCGGGATTAAAATTCTTATCCAATTCCAATCCCAAATCGGCCGCATAACCAACATAACCTTCGGCCAATTTTCCAAAAACTTAATTAACCAATCCAAAATTGCATCATTGGCCCTCCAATTCTCTAAATTCATTAATTTCCTCCCCATCAATTGCTCCAATGTTCAATTCTTTCCCATTGAGTTGCTTTTAATTCGATTTTAGCTCAAAACTTCAACAATTCTTCATTTGAGTACAATTCCTACAATTAAAGATAAAATCACATAAATAGCATATTTGTACTCAAAATATATTGCAAAAATCACAAATTAGGGATATAATAAATAGGTAAAATATAAGCATATCAAATATTCGGTTAGGCGTGAAAAAGAAAAGGGGTAAAACTTGTAATAACTTGGATAAAAACTGGACTGCTTATAAAAAATTGATGAACTAAATGAATTACATTGAGTAAATCGAATAAAAAGACTTGTGAAAAGGGTATTGAAAAAAAAGAGCAATAGGGTGCGAAAAAGAAAGAAGAGAGCCTTGCAGTTTGTGTTCTGTTTGTGTTAATGATGAGTTGTGTTATGTGTCGCTTATATAGGGTTCGGTAACCACCTACGTCGATGCGATTTCCGATTCCTAATTGAATTCGGTGTTGCCGATTTTGAATTACAATTGTATTTTATTTCCGATTTCCCGTTTCTTTGCCACAATTGTAATTCGTCTTCAACTTGGATTTGGCCTCTTCCGCGTCGGGGTGGGCTTTCGACGTGTCTTCTTTTCCGACTTGAAAATGGATTCCCTTTTCTTGTGTCGAATGTGGTCTTCTTACGATATTGGGTCGATTCACCATTTTTTTTGGGCCGACACGATTTTAATTAAAATCGACGGTAACATAAAGTCTCCCCAAGGCACAACTCATTTTATGTGTGGTGTGCCTTTTGGATCCATCGGGCCAACAATGAATCGGTCCATAAGTGCCAACCCATGAGTTGAATTGAAAAATAGTGTATGGTGGCCCCTTAGTCAAAGGCGTGATGGAAGTAACGTCTTTGAGTGATGAATTCGAAAGAAATCTGCTCCAAAATGAGCCGTTGGAATGACACGTAGGGAATCGAAATCCAATCCCGAGAATCGATGGAGATCGTTTGCTTAACAACGGTTCTTATCCACAATAGTCATTCCACATCTGTTCCTTGATTATTCAAAATTCAAAACGCTGATTCCTTCTCCTGTTCTTCGATTCCTCGAAGCAAATTCCAAACCAACAAAAACACAATGTTTTCTGAATCGCCATGGCTGAGATGTATGTAGTAAAGTTTGATGCAGAAATGGCAAAAACGAGGAAGGTGAAACCAGAAGAGCTGTTGGCGTTGTCGCCGGATTTCCAAGAACTGCTCAATCCACATGGGCCACCGGGTCACTACTCGTTGGGGCCTAATTTTATGGCCGACAACGCTATACTCCGAGAATATATTCCGGTGCTGCACCCAAAAAATCCACCCCATAGGTTTTTGTGTACCGGCTTTGGGCGTATTCGGGGATGGCCATGGACATCGGAGAAAGGGAAGATTCATCAAGAATTCTGCAAGTAGGCGAAGATGATGGAGAAACACCACGCGACAGTATGACCTGATTTAATTCTGTCAGATGGGTATTTTCGACAACAAAGTGCTATTGGGGGTGGCATCAAGATTTTGGAGTAGCTCCAGCATTGTCTTTTGTTTCCCATGGGGTTTTATGACGCCGACCTTGCTTAACGTGGCAGTGATAACCTGTGTACCAGTGGTTGCTGATGTCACAATCGATGGAGACAATGAAGGCGCTGATGCGGCACAAGCTGGTTCACATTGTAACAACAGAGAGGTCATGGAGGATACATTAAGGAGAACCTGCTAAAGCTGTGTAATGACCATGTTCAACACATCCGATTCCTGGCAGTATGGCTGAATCGGTATATCATATGTGGTAAGTCTTTCCAAATGACTCAAGATATGTATCATATGGATGCCATTCTAGCTTCTAGAAAATCGATCAATTTGTGTGAGATTATGCTGGATATGTTGTCCCACAGTATGCATGAGATTAGGAAGGCACCCAATGAAACTGTGTTTGGTCCAATTTGGCTGTTATTCTTGTGGTTTTATATGTACTTTCCGCAGTTAAGGGTAGCAGGAATTAAGCCACTAGGAAACCAATCGTTGTGCCTTAGTGTAACCCATACTGGTGTAGCTAGATATGACAGCAAATTTGTAGCCAAGGTGTTGTGGGATTTGGTACCTAATTTATCTGTGATATTAAAAGAACTTTCATATAAGCATTGGCATCCCACATTTCGTGCTCAGACACAAGTTGAGACTGAGTTGGGGGACTGGGATGATGATAGTGCCTCTGGACGTGTGGAAGAAGTTATTGGTACCCAGGGATCTGTATTATGGGTTCAAAAGTCTATCTCAATAGACTGGTGAATGCCATATGCATGCTGAGTACTATCTGACAGTAATAGTGGCGAGACAATTAGGCTTAGTGCAAGGCATTCCATTTTTTGATGTATCTTGCAAACACACTTGGGATTTCAGAAGGGGAAAGATGACCATTCTTGAGTATTATGAACAAAGGGAGATCATGGCCAACAGGTGTCACTCTGGGAAGTTGGTTCCTTTTGAGGTACTACCTGAAGCATCAGTTGTGTTTTATCTCTTTTTGGAAAAAGTACTGCGCATGCTGTATCCACAGGCCCTGGATGGCATTCTACAGGATGTGTTGCCGATTGACTCAGATATCCCAAAACCTCATGTGGTTGATGAACAGGCTCCCCAAGGTAATCACACATTTTTGTTTTTTGTAATGCCATGATATTTGCTATAACCCTGAACTAATGCATGAACACTTGGGATTCAGTTTTGATAGGTCAGAGTCCTATGGCCATCGGGAGTAAGAAGAGTCACAAAAGGAAGAAATCAATAGGGCCATCACAACAAGTTAAACGTCGGACATCTGCCTAATTGGCAGGAACCAAGAAGACAGCTACCAACAGTTCAAAGGTAAGTATCTTGTTGCATAAGGGAGGAAAAACAAATGGTTTTTGTGCATATCCATTGAAAAGTTTTGTGATTGTCTATGTTGGGTGCAGAAACTTGTAGAGATGGTAGATTTGTTTGCGGAAGAATCAAATGCAAGTGATAACAAACAAGCATCGGAGTCAGTGGACGAAGATGCTACTAGCAGCCCTGAACAACATGTCTCTCCACCGCCCAAACGGCAACCAGGCTCCAGGATGTCACAAAGAAGTGTCAAGCAAACCAGTGTCACCGCGGCCATTCCGACCATTGAAGAGTTGCAACAGCGATTGTTTTACAAGAAGGAAGAAACAACTCCAGTGGTGAAAACCAGTGGTGACGCAACGCAATCTGTTGGAGCTGCACTGAGAGAGTTACAGGGGTTGTCAAAAATTAATGCAGAGCAAGTCCATGCTAAGTACCACCAGTCACTGAAACAGGCACTGGAAACTATCCAAGGGAGTGAGCTGCCAGAAGCGGTTAAGGCAACAGTTGCCTTGTTTTTAGCCAATTTTCAGCAAAGAAAGATCAACTGTGAAATCTGTGTAAAACATGGGGAAGATTACAACCATTCAGCAATGGCACATCTGGAAGCTGAGAAGACAGCAAAAACTCTGGTGGAACAGGCAGCTACAACTACAGCTCAAGCAAAGGAATTGGCGGCAAAAGAAGCAGCACTAGAAGAAAACCTGAAAAACGTTCGAGAACAATGCTAAGAAACTGATCTTTTGTACCAGAAGATGGCACAACAATGTGCGGAGGCTATCAGCATGCGGGATGAACGTGCACAGGATACAAAGGAAAAATTTGTTCATTATGAAAATGCCCAGCCCATTATTGCAGAAGTGACCAAGATGTGGAACTTCCTGAAAGGTGCTTTGAAAGATGTCCTTGTGCCAACAGAAACTCCCTCTCCTAATGCAACGAAGGAAGAAAACAAAGATGAGGATCTATCAAAAGTTCAATCAGCTCCTGGTGTTGTTGCTGGGGAATCAAGCGGTGCTGGTAAAGGCAATCCATATAAAAAACAACCATAATTCATGCCACCGGTGTGTGGTTCCAAAAGACGGTGACTTGTGCCAAGTTTATATCCTTTGGTTTTCTCTGAATGATATTATCGTTTTTTGCCTTTTGACGCTTGTGAAGTCCTTGGATTGGTACTATCTTAAATAATGTTTTGTTGCAATTTCTTTGGCTTATTCTTGATGTTTTGTGTCCAAATGTTCCCAACAGGACATGTAGTATTTCTTTAAATAAGTAGCATTAATAGGTTTGCCACTGATTTTGCCATCCAAGGTAGCCAATGTATATACGTTGCAGCCTAAGTGGCGATGAATAACAAAAGGTCCTTCCCAAGTCGGTGTCCACTTGCCATATTTAGGATCACGTTGGCCAATAGGCAGAATGACCTTCCAAACCTTCTCGCCGACTTGAAAGCTACACTTACGAGAATTCTTGTTGTATTGTTTAATAACAAGACTCTTCTCATACTCAAGCTGTCTAGCTGCATTAATCCTGATTTCTTCTATCTGATCTTGCTGAATTTGCATGCTTAAAGCATACTCGAAAGACTCAATCGGATGTTGATTTTGAAGACGAAGAGACGGAATTAAGTGTTCGACCATAAACTAACTCATATGGTGTAGCATAAACTAACTCATAAACTAACTCATATGCGTCATGACCATAAACTAACTCATATGGTGTAGCATGTGTTCCATCACGTTTGGACATGTGATAAGCCCATAAAACTTATGGTAGCAGAGAATGCCAAGCCGTGGGATTATCTGAGAGGTGACAATTCATGATGTTCTTGATTATCTTGTTACTAGCCTCTGCTTGACCGTTCCCTTGTGCATAATACGGAGATGAATGGGTAAGGAAGAAACCAGTGTCTTTGGCAAAATCTTGCATCTCCGTGCCAATAAAATACTGTGCTTGATGAGTGACAATAGATTCATGAATCCCAAATCGATACAAGATATGCTGCTAGATAAATCTGATAAACTGCTTTTTGGTCAACGTCTTTTAGTGGCACTGCTTCCACCCATTTTGTAAAATAATCAGAGGCTACCAGAATATAACGGGGATTGCTATAAGAAGATGGATGAATCATGCCGATTACGTCCATTGCCCAGCATCGAAAAGGCCATGGTTTCACTATAACTTGCATGGGTGTAGCTGGAACGCGTGGAATATCTCCATAATGCTGGCAATTAGCGCAGCCACAGGCAAAAGAAATACAATCTTGTATCATGGATGGCTAGAAATACCCGTGTCAACGTATCAACCAAGCCATATTTTGTCCACCCTGATGGGCACCACAGGCACCTTCATGTGTTTCTAGCACAACGACAGTGGACCCTGGACGATTAAGGCATTTGAGTAGAATCTCATCAGCGGTCTTGTGGTAAAGAGCTCCATCAATCACAACATACTGGGTAGCCCGGCGTCGGGCCTGGATATCAGTCGGCACATCTGGATTACGAAGAAATTGGATAATGGGATGTCTTCAATCGCCGACATCAACTTGTGGCTGGATGGTATTGACATGTATTGATGCTTGTTCATGATAAGCGGGGAAATCTAATTCAATAGTATCATATTGCCAAGATGAATCCATGTCAGGAATATTATCAGAGGCAGATTGTGCCATGGCATTAGCTTCTTGGTTGTCCGGGCGCAACACATTGGTGAATGTGATTGCATTAAAGTGAGATTTGAGTTCATTGCCAAGAGTTGCATATTGTGTTAAAATATCATCTTTTCGGTTCATGGTATTTTTCATATACCAACCACAAGAGCAGAGTCACCGATAACCTCAATGTTTCGTGCTCCATTGTGTATCAAAGTACGGAGATCATAAGTCAAACCTTTATACTCTGCCTGATTATTGGTGACACGGAAATTCAACCGGACACGTATTCAAAACACTTTCCCTAGAGGGGAATAGATAACCACTCCTGCTCCGCACTTGTAAAATGTGGCAGAACCATCAAAGTATAGTTTCCAAGGCACAGTAGGTGCGATCTACCTGAAAGGCCACAACCTCAATATAAAACCAGTTATCGTCCACTGAAGGGTGTGTTGCTAAAAAGTCTGCCAAAGCTTGTCCCTTAACAGCTGATTGCGGAACGTGTTGAAACTGAAACTCCATGAGTCTCAATATCCATTTGCCAATCCTACCACTCATGTTGGGACGATTGAGCATATACCGGAAAAATTGATCTTACTGATAACACAAATCGGTGTTGGTAGCATATAATGGCGGAGATTGGTAGCAGCAAAGGAGAGAGCTAAGCATAACTTCTCTATGGGTGGGTATTTCTGTTCAGTGGCCGTCAACATTCGGCTAAGATAGTAAACGGCTCTCTCAAAACCATCTGGACCATCTTGTGCCAGGAAATATCCCAAGGAATCATCTGTGGTGGAGATGTATAATTTCAAAGGGACGTTCAGAAATCGGTGCAACCATAACTGGCGTACGACTAAGGGCAACTTTGATAGCATCAAAAGCTTATTGGTGTTCAGCTTCCCAAATAAAATCTGTGGCTACTTGCCGTTTTAGCAATGGAGAAAAGCCTTGATCTTGGATGAAAAATTGGCCACAAATCGGCGTAAGAAATTAATCTTGCCAATTAAACTCTGAAGTTCCTTCTTGTTACGCGGCGGTCGGGCTTCCAGTACGGCTTCAGCCTTTTTACTATCGACTTCGATTCCCCTGGAATGTACCAGGAAACCTTGGAAAACACCAGATGTCACATCAAAAGCGCACTTGAGGGGATTAAGTTTCAACTTGTAACGCCGCATACGCTCAAAACAAGTTGTTAAATGTCGAAGGTGATCAACGAAAGAATGCGACTTCATAACTATGTCATCAATGTAAAGCTCCAGCAAGTCGCCTATTAAATCATGAAATATACAATTCATGGTGCGTTGATAAGTTGCACCAACGTTCTTGAGACCAAATGGCATTACTTTCCATTGGAATATCCCTAAAGCACCTAGACCGCGGAACGCAATCTTAGGAACATCTTCATGGGCGATATATATATCTAGTTGTAGCCTGTATTACCATCGACAAAGCTAAATATTTCGTATCCCACCAACCTATCAATGAGAGTTTCGGCAATAAGCATGTGGTATTCATCCTTCGGAGATGCCAGGTTTAGGTTGCGGAAATCAGTGCACACCCTTGTTTTACCATTTTTCTTGATGATCGGCACAACATTTGATAGCCATTCGACATAGGTTGCAACCTATATAAAATCGACAGCTAGCAACCGTTGTATTTCCTCTTTAACCTTGCCGACCACATCATCTGAAAAACGTCGCGAAGGCTGTTTGTATGGTTTGAATCCAGGTTTAAGTGATATTGTATGCTTTACTAACTTGCGATCCAACCAAGGCATCTCTGTGTAATCCCAGGCAAAACAATCGCGAAAGGACTTGAGCAACATGGTGAGTTGCTGCTTTTCATTAGTGGACAATGTACAACTGATATAGATTGGTTTTGGGACTGTTCCATCGCCTAAATCGATAGTAACCACAGGATCCTTAGTGGCCACAGAGCCATCTTCTAACTTGTCTGCTGCGACTGGCAGCTCATTGAGTTCAATAACATCGCTATCAGTTTATGGATCTGCAATCATAAATAACATCTTCCCAATTGATCTCTGGGTGTTCCGCCTTAAACTTGCGTTCGTCAGTAAAAAACCTCAAAACTCGTTTAATAGCGCCCCGTTTCTTAACAGCTTCTACTAACTCAATGTCAAGAGAAGCATCATTCATAACTGATAATTGTTCAATTGTCTTCATCAGGAACTTCTTCAATGATGATAGCTAGAGTCGACGGCGGAAGGAGCTTATAATTCTGCGGCCTGTTGACCTCTTGCCACAACATCTTCCATTCTGGAAGAGTACAATCGTGGCGCATGGTGGCCTGCATTGGCCTACCGTATTTGTCAATCCCTAACATTCGATAAGGACCAACTTCTTTATCATAGTAGTAAGCTTCAACTGAATTCATTTGAGTAGTGAATGGTGTTGTATCAACATTGACGATTTCTGGACCACTCTTTTCCCAAAGGATAATAGTTTGATGCAACGAAAAAGGCATACAATGGGCCGAATGAATCCAATCACGGTCTAATAATGCATTGTAGGACGCTTTTGTATCCACCACAAAGAAAGCAGAAACAATAGATTGCGAACCCACAGTGACTTCCAATGGGAGGATTCCTTGGGTACTGGTAACATCACCGGTAAAATCACTAACAAATATCTCTGTTGGAACTAGATCTTGTATATACTTGCCTAACTTGCATATGGTAGAGAACGGTAAAACATTAATGGCTGCACCATTGTCGACTAAAACCTGTTTCAAGGGAATGCCATCCATAGTAGCGCAAATGAATAAAGGATGAATATGAGTCGTAGCCGTGTCATTTGGCTGTGTTAACATAACAATAGATGACTACCCCGATCTTTCTATTATCTGAATTCCACTCTGCCTTGTTTCCTCTAGAGTTATTGAAGGTATAGGAGTATCAACATCAAATGTGTCAATCATTTCTGAGTCTATGTTGGACAAAAGTGGTTCAACAGTCAGCGTTTCGGGCATTGTACGGAATGACCGTGGCAATGCATAAACCATATTAACTGAAGGATTATGATCCGCTACTTTTCGCCAGTACTGCCGCTTAGAAGAAGAATTTCTTGCCTTATGTGGTGGACTTGACGACATCTTTGATTGACGGCTCGATTGTATATCCTTATAGTAACCACTGAGTATGGGTAAGTCTCGCTGCTTCAAGAGGAACAACTGGAAATTCTTTATGTTGGTTATGGTGCCAGTGACTGTCACTAACTACCATTGGTTTTACCATTCTGGGATTGCGCACAGGAGGAGGTGTTCTAAGTTTAGACAATCAATCCCATACTGATGTTCCTGCATAATCAGATGAATTCTTTGGCACAGGGAAAGCTTCTCGCATAATCACGGGTACCTGCTGGTTTCCTGAGGGTACCGTAGGCACGTGTCCATAAACAGGAGCACCTAGACCAGATGGCTAGAATCCTGATGGAAAGACTGACTGTGGTTGCGGAACTAGCGGCGGTACATGATGATGAGGATGGAACGTCGTTTGTTGAAGATGATTATGCAAAATCTCTCCTGGTGCTGGGTTATGCACCCATGTCTGCGGATGACCATCTACCATGATAGTAACTTCTTACCATGGTATCAGCTGATGGTAATGCCCCCCAAATTGTTGCTCCAATTATGTCAGTTGGTGCTTCAATCCACCGAGAACTGCATCACATTGAAAACAACCTGTAGTATTACACGCCACAGGCATGTGATTATTCAAACCTACATTGATCATACGAATTGGGTGCTCTGTGGGGAATGGATTAGTATTCATCTCAACTGGATCACCGATTTTCATTTTCCCTTCATCAATCATCATCTGCAAGTAATTGTGGAAAACCACATAATCATTTGTACTATGTATCCATGATATATGATACTTGCAATATATTTTCCCAGCGATTTGAGATGGTTTCGGCGGCCGATAACTTTCCTATACCGTACATGGCCTGTCTTCATCATGTCATAAAAAATTGCCTCCTGTTGGGTTATGTCAAAAGAGTAAACTTTTGCAGCTACGCTAGTGTCTGATGTTTTGGCCGTTCCAAAGGGAGACACTCTTTGAGAATATGCCTATGATACAACTGGCCTACGTAATGCTTCACATGTGTATTCTTTTAAATTGATTATCTCTGCAGCATTGACACTATCCCAGGGCTGATCTTCATCGTCGGAGGAACTCCAAGCAACATTATTAACTTCTGCAACAAGTTCTTTGTGAAACCAAGATTTTGGTTTGGTTGGCTTAGATTCTCTCTTAGCTCGGATTAGATTCTCTCTTAGATCTCGAATGCCTGATATTGCCATCTTAACAATGGTTCATTCCTCATATTTGCCAAAAGTAGCTCCCGGTATCTTTGCATGCATTTGCCGGAACCTAGCAAGATATGCTTCAACTGTTTCACCAGGTTTCTATTGGACTTGTGACAAATCAACTATCATTAACCTTGGCGTGGTACGGTGGAAGTTATGAATAAACACTCGCTTTTGAGCGTTCCAATTAGCAATGGATCCTGGTTCCAAGGTATGATACCATCTAGTGCTATTCTGGCCATTGAATACGGAAATAACTGTAGTTTCAGGAGAGATTATGTCCAGGTTCACCACATTCCAATTCAAAGCGGCCAATGTGATCTTCAGGCCGTTAATCATCTTCTGAAGTAAAATTTTTGAAATATGGCATTTTGCAATTCCTTGGCAAAGGCTCGAACTCTATATATTCAGGATAAGGCTTTCCTATCACTTCTGGCACTTCTATTCCCAGTTCCTTACGTACCATATCTTCCACCATAGTTTTGAAACTAGCTTCTGTAGTAAATGCGGGTGCAGTTTCTTCTTCTCGAGCAAAACCATCCTGTCGGAACCCTCTCTCGGATTCTTGATAAAGATGTGCTTCTGGTTGATTTTCTCTTTGTGGATTTCTAACATCTCTTCTCCGAGTATTGTTCCTTGTCCTAGTTCGATTCTGGCCTGGTTTGCTTTGTATCCTTTGTGGAGTCGGCACATTATTCGTCAGGTTTCCTAGTTGATTACCTTTGGTTATTATTCGAGAGAGGGTTAGCTGTAGCCAGAGTGTTGGCTACCACCGGGACTGTTCGAGCAGCCATTGGAGTTGGTATGGCTTGAGTCAGTGCGCTTTTAATATTCTGGACCTGAACAGTCTACTCACCTAAAGGATTCGGCGGAAGTGCTGGCCTTGGTGGTGGTATTATTCTTCTTGGTGGAGTAAAACTACCTATTGGCGGGTAACCGGGAGTTTTTGGTGGCCATCTCATAGCTGGAACAACTATTGTAGGCCCATAACTCGATGCTGGCCCCTAGTAATTTCCATAATAAGGTAGTGGACGGCCATCGAAGGTGAAATTTTTGACTGGCAGAATAAAAGCTGGTTGACTTAGGTCAGCGCGGTAATACCAACTAGGGTTTGGTATTGGTGTGCTCTCTGGAACGACTCCTACTTGGCTTACTTCGCTGGTTGACAACCCTTGTACTGGTGTTGACGAATTAGAGAACAAAGGGTTATCATGAGTAAGTGCTGTAGACGGATTCAGCAACGGTACTTTCAATGACACATCGGGGGTTATTGGTGAAATTTCAGGTGCTGCCCCTCCATTAGGGTTAATATTCTGGAGAGATTGCTCTAGCGCAGCGATATGGGCCAACATGCTTGTGATAGTGTTATTCTGTTGGCCTATAATGATTTGCTCAAGACTTTGGGGTGTGTTATACGCCGATTCTTTAGTACGCCTCTATTGGTCTAACCCTAGCTGAGCGTTAAGCCACGCTATTCCATGTTTTAAGGTTTGTTCCGAACCTTGATTATGATGAAATTGTGGATGATATGAGCTTTTCAACTCATATTCCAAGTTCCGATTTACCGGGAGAACCGATACTCCTGATAACGGTAACGGAAGAGTTAATGAGATTCCTGTTTCTCCAGTTGATTTTGCTGCTTCACTTGTTGATAGACCGAAGGAAGTAACTCCTGTCGGAATAGAAGTTGTAGCTGATGTTGTTGACATAGCTCCAGACCTAATCGAGACACGCAAATCAGTCCCCACTGGGCGTGCCAATTATGTTTGTGTGAAAATAATCAGTAGAAACTGGCGCACGCTTATTAACAATCTCAGACGAAAGTGTGTAATTCATGAGATACAATATTCGGCTAGGCGTGAAGAAGAAAAGGGATAAAACTTGTAATAACTTGGATAAAAACTAGATTGCTTATAAATTGATGAACTAAACAAATTACAATGAGTATAAAAAGACTTGTGAAAAGGGTATTGACAAAAAAGAGCAATAGGGTGCGAAAAAGAAAGAAGATAGCTTTGTAGCTTGTGTTCTGTTTGTGTTGATGATGAGTTGTGTCCTGTGTCGCTTTATTTCTCTCTTTATATAGGGTTCGGTAACCGCCTACGTCGGTGTGATCTCCGATTCGTAATTGAATTTGGTGTTGCCGATTTCGAATTACAATTGTATTTTATTGCTGATTTCCTGTTTCTTTGCCACAATTGTAATTCGTGTTCAACTTGGGTTTGGTCTCCTCGGCATTGGAGTGGGCTTTCGACACGTCTTCTTCTCCGACTTGAAAATGGATTCCCTTTTCCTACGTCGAATGTGGTCTTTTTTGCAGTCTTGGGCCGATTCACCACTTTTGTTGGGCCAACACGATTTTAATTAAAATCAGTGGTAACAATTTCGTACCCTCCGTCCCCCAAAAAAACAGTTCATTTCGTAATTTGCAGATGAACAATTTTAGTACAAGTTATAAATTACTCCCTCCATATCGTTTTATATGTCGTTTAAGGATTTTCACACAGTTTAAGGAATGACATTAAAAGACCAAGTAACCCTTATTTACTCAAAATAGAACTCTAATCCCAATTCCAACCTTAAACACAATTCTCATTGGAACTAGGAGTTCTGACGGCCGATGATCAAAATTCCCACCATGGAGTGAAGTTGAAGTAGTTTGCTTCATGATAGAAAAAATTGGCGGCATGTTTTTTTTTTTTGGAAAAATATTTGGTTTCCTATTTTAAAAAATGAGCGCCATTAGCTTGATTCCAAATTTCGAAATTTTGTTTTTTCTCTTATTTATAGTTGGGATTTCATTGTGGAAACAAGATGAGATCAATCGATGAATTCAACACAAAGTGAGGATGATGATCATGAAAACTTGTGTTTTGATCTCAATAATAGTCCTCCATCCGATTCGTATGAAAAAGAAGATGAGGGTGCACATCCTTTCAACTTAAACTTGCCACCAATAGAAGAAATAGAGGTTGTTTATTTGGATGGTGATGGTGATGGTGATGGTAGTTATTTTGAAGAAGGATTTGAGGGAGATTTCGTTAACGACTTTGAAGAGTTAGAAAAAGAACTTGGAGATGATTCCTTTGAAGAAGAGTTGGAGCAAGGATTTAATGGTGATCATTTTGAAGAAACTAACGGTGACAACTTCGATGAAGAATCGGAACAAGAAGCTAATGATGATCAATCGGAACAACAAGAAGGAACAAACGAAGGTACATGTTTTTCTCTTTTTTTTTTCTAATTCGATTATTTTTCTCATATTGTTTTTTTCTTTTTTCATACTGTGTTGTGTTGTAGATTTTGGGTTTCTAAATTTTAGGATAAAAACCAACAAATTTTGTACTCCACGATGATGATTGATGATGAATAAAACTAATTCACGATGCAAGCTTGTTCTTTATTTTGGCCATTTTGAACTAATCATGATGAAGATTGATGTTAAACTGAAATAATTGATGATGACTGCTTGTTCTCTATTCTGGCTGTTTTGAGTAAAAGAAACTAGTCCTACGTCCCCCTTTGATGAAAGTTCATGTGATATTATCTAGGTGCTTCATAAGAAATTTTGAAGGATTTTTATCATTCACATATGCTGTAGATTCAGTGATTTAGAATTCCCTCCTGTATGGAGGAGGATGAGTATAATCGCAAAAATCTAATGGATTAAATGCATATATTTTAAAGAAGCCAACAAACCAAACTAGTCAATATCTATTCGCTTTAAAACAATGTAGACATGAGCATAGATTGCTGCTATACATGTAGATACAATGTACAATATGTAGCGGAAATTTTTTTGTTAAAATAAAACCATGTTGTTGATAATTTTAGGTCCGTTAGTTTTTTTTTTTTTTGACTCTAGGTTCCATTAGTCAATGATGATTGTTTTTTTCTATCACAGCATAATCCTACATGAGCTAGTTTTTGAGACTTGGCTTGTTTTTCTTCATCGCTTATCTTCCTCATTGATTTTTCCATGATGCAATGTTACAAATTTTTATTTTATTTTTTGTTCATGACCTAGGAGATGTCGTCATAAAGAAAAGGAGGATTCTCACGAATGAGGAACGAAGAGTTATATATAATATGCTTCTACAAAAAAGTGTTGATGGAAAATTGCAAAGATGGGTGACAACTGAGGTAGCATCAGCTTTTTCAGTTAACATTCGCACTATACAACGAATTTGGAAACAATCAAAGAACTCTCCTACGGGTGATGTATCAAGCCGAAAATCATCGAATTGTGGGCGAAAAAGAATTCAGATTGATCTTGATCGGGTTCGTGATATTCCCTACCATGGGCGGACAACTCTTGAGTCTTTGGCTTCAAAATTAAATATTAGCACGACTAAAGCCCATAAATTGTTAAAAGTCTGGAGCTTTACGGCGAGAATCGAATACTCTAAAGCCTTATGTGACGGATAAAAATAAAAGGACTCGCTTACAATTTTGCATATCAATGATTGAAGAGAGTAGCTTACCAGACGAACCAAAATTCAAAGGTATGTATAATGTTGTTCATGTTGATGAGAAATGGTTCAATATGACAAATATGGCTTTAACCATTTACCTATTGCCTAATGAGCCTGGCCCAGTTTGTACAGTTAAGAACAAAAATTTTATTCAAAAGGTTATGTTTTTAACTGCCATAGCTCGGCCAAGATTTGATGCACAGGGCAATGTAACATTCTCCGGAAAAATTGGTTGTTGGGCTTTAGTCACTCGAGAACCAGCAAAAAGGAGAAGTGTTAATAGACCTGCAGGTACTCTGGAGACAAAACCGATTACTTCAGTAGGAAGAGATGTGTACAGGAAATTTATGATCGAAAAGGTGTTACCGGCTATTAGAGAAAAGTGGCCGAGAGAGGACATAATGCATCCAATATTTATCCAGCAAGACAATGCAAGGACACATATATATCCTGATGATGCTGATTTTTGTGAGGCAGCAAGACAAGGCGAACTCAATATCCAGATCATCTGCCAACCTCCAAACTCTCCAGATTTGAATGTTTTAGACCTTGGATTTTTTGCTGCAATTCAGGCTTTAAAAAATAAAAAGTCTCCTAGGACAGTGGATGAGCTAGTGCGTGCAGTCTATGAGGCATTTGAGGAATTTTGTATTGTGAAGTCAAACCGTATCTTTGTAACACTACAGTTGGTTATGATTGAAGTCATGAAAACAGAAGGTGCCCACAAACGTGATCCACCACATATTCACAAAGCAAAGCTCGAAAGATTAGGCATGCTTCCTGTTCAATTAAGTTGTGATGCTGCTTTAGTTGCAAGAGTTAGGCAAATATTAAGTCAAGATTAGTTTTCATTTTGTTATTTAAGCTAAGAATTATGCAAACTCTCCGTTTGTTTTTTTTATAAAAGAACTATCATAGTGATAGTCTTTTGAATGTAGTAGCCATTTAGAATGCCATTCTCTACTTTGTTTGTCTCCTATTGAATGCAAACTTAGTGCGATCATTTATTTTTTTCATCTTTAATCCACCAAATTAGAAGAAGGTTTTCATAGATGATGCCATTTTCTCAACTTCCGGCAAGTAATTCCACTATGGAAATAAAATGGAAAAGCTATACATAACAGGTGGATATCGAATGATTCTTAGCTATTAGCATTCAAATAGTATTTCAACCTGGAAGGTGAAATTGAGCTCTTGATTCAATGCCATTTCTCAGCATTAGCGTGATGTGAAATTGAGCTCTTGATACCTTGCGAACATTTGCATTGTCCATTTTTCCTTCTTTTTTTTTCTGTTTTTGTTTTTGTTGTATGTTCATTCATACAGAGGTTATATCTGCATGTGCTTGACAATTGAAATTCATTCATGGTTTTGGTGAAGGATTTTAATCTCAAAGTTTCCTCAAAGCCTTAACCTGGACTATTCCAATTTAATTTTATTTTTTTTGAAATTTATGATGCCTTAAGATTGATCACGGTTCGTCGTAGCAATCATCCAAGGATTTGGATAATTCCAGAACATTTTTTATTCTCTTCCTCTGTTGCCTTATCTTCATTTCTTTTATTTGGCTTAAGCCTTAACCTTTCTTACATTTGGTGTATAGGGCTAAAGCATGAGTATAAAACTGCAAACGCGTCAAAGAATTGTTGTTTCAAATCAACATAGTAGCAGGGCTAGCTGGTTTAATGTAAAAATCTGATTCATCTAATTGAAAATTTTCAAACAAAACTCTCCTCCTTAGTTTCGGCGATTAGAAATCCCAGCTGCTCAAGCACAAATCTCCCCACCGATCATCATCTCCCACCATTGATATGCAATGCTCAGACATGGCAGAGAGGAAGAAAAAAGAAGATTGAGTGTCCAGTCCTATAACTCTGTTCATGAAAATACATGAATTGCATGGTTCAAAAAATAATCTTCAAAGTGATGGGGCAAATTTTTTCGCACCTCTACAGCAAATTTAACAGATTTTTGTGGCTCTCATACACTTTGCTCAATGAACAAATATATTGAAATTCATGTGCCATTTGTCCTCCACATGATCAAAAGAAATTCTATGATCAAGTGAGCAAGGAACAAGAAGCAATGTTTGGTTCAAATTAAATAGGAATCCTGAAAAACAATGACAAACAGAGAGTTTAGTCAAGCTCTTCATAGCAGCAATGCCACCAAAAACCAGTAACCAAATATGGTTCAGAAGGTAATCTATTCAGCTCCAACTCTTTCAAAGAATTCAACTTCCCCAATCTAACCCATTATAATACATTTAAATTTACGGAGCAAACACAGAACTTGAATTTTGAGGCAAAAGAACTTCGGAGCATACATAGACCCCAAGCAAGAAAACATAACTAAATTGACCACAAAAGGCAAAAACACGGTGCCGAGCATATTAAGTAATTAACCATTCTTGTAAGTTGTTGAATTTACAAGAACAACATAGTTTGGAAAAAAAAAATCTCAACCAAAGTAGAACCCATTCAGTTGCAAACAAAAGCAGCCGATCAATACAACCAACCCAAACTTCTCATCAAATGATAAAACTACGTTACAAACTAATCTTTATATAGATATGGAAAATAAATTTTCAACATAGTTTTTATGGGATCTAAAGCTATTTTTTGAGTTCTGATATGATCTTGAATTTGTTGTTCTTCAAGACTGACTTCTCCCTCTTTTTCGTCTGGTAATGCATTCAAATCAAAACCCACCTCAGAGTCCGGCAATTCATTCAAATCAAAATCCATACCGGCCAGAAGATTCAAATCGAAATCCTTAGGCTTCTTCTCATTCCTCACTTCTAAGCAACTCTTCACGATTGAACCTTTGGTTGATTCTTTTTGCGCTTCCATCCTTATTGTTGCACAGGGGCGGCTGGAGAATTGACGGATTAAAACCCCCTTGTAATCTTCTATTTCCCGCCATATTGATATGAGAATATTGAAAGACTTGGGTAGTTGAATTCAATCTTTGAGAATTGGAGAAATTATTGAATGAAGGGAGAGGTTTGTGAAATAGGATTACAATGAAAGGAGTAAGAAAACCCTTTGAAAAATGAAGACCACATAAATATATTCGCTTGCTTTGATTGAGGGCATTATTGGAAAAAATGAGTAAAAAACACCTAGAAATGTGAGAACGACTTATATTTGGAAAAAATTGAGATTATCTCCAGCGACATATAAAACGATATGGAGGGAGTACAATGTTATAACATGGACTATATACAGTATTTTTAAGCTAAAAGTAATTTTCGGCATGTTAATGATAATATTTTCATATAATCTCTATATATATACTAAAAAATCCAAGCACATGATTTATTACTATGTGTACACTCATTAATTTTAATCAAATGATTAGGAAATTAGGATCTGTATTTTGCCGAATGAAAACAAATCTAAAACTGAAGTAACATGATCGATGGCAGGTATACTTCATCAATCGTAAATAATTTTATTAGGCCCAAATTTATTATTAACTGGAGTTGAAATAAATTCTATCTATCACCGGCAAATAATTGATAAGGAAAAGGAAAGGAATTTTTTTTGAAGCTCCTTGTAAATCACTTCCTCATTGTTAAACTATTTTGGTTATGCGAATAAAATTAGGAAAATAAATGTAAGAACACACACATATAAGGTCAAGATGGAAATTAAAGAAAATCCATAAGTCACACTCCAGCGAGAAATGAAACGCAGGCCGTTCCTTCGTGTAAGTTGGGTGTTCTTAAAATGAAGAAAATAACAACAAAGGTTAATATACAATTAAAAGAAAAATGTTAAGTACTTGAAGCCATTTTACTATTAGAAACTAATATCTTCATATCACCGACACATTTCTTTATTAGCCGACTTTGCTTAGGGGTGGAATTCTTTATTAAGAAAATTGACTCTTTGTTTTACCCAGTGTCATTACAGCTTTGACTTTTTACCTTTTATGTCTTCATCGACCATTTTCTATGGTTTTATTTTGGGCACTAATTTGAAAAACAATTTGCATCCATTATTTTCATCATATGTGCGCCGATAATATGCTTTTTGTTTTTTTTTTTTCTTTTTTTTTTGAAGCTGGATTCTGTTTTTTT